ATAATTCATGAGATGTTACGCACATATTATTCATAAAATACCTTGTTGCCCTGTAGCACATTTAGCCTTCACGGCTACTGGAACTGATTGCTCTATAATGGCTTATATAAACAGTAATTACGTACACACTTTACCTGGTAATTTTAAAAAAATGTGCACGCACGCACAAAAGAAAAGCATGAAACACCTCAAGCTGAAGTTTCAGCGAATCACATTTTATGCTCCATCAAAGACCGAAAGTGGCTGTTCGCTCAGCAGTCCTGGTAACAAATTCTTTGATCACGTCTTCTAAGCTGAACGTGGCGGTCTTTTCCTTGTGAACATGCAAAATGAGAAGGCGTGTCAGCCTTTACTGAGCCATACGGTTCCGTAAATAAGGTTTTATTCAGCGTAAAGCGTTGAATGAGCGTTCTGTCGAAGCTATACAGATGCAGGTACACAAAAAGAAGTTGCATGTCTTTTGACGACTTGGTCTAACATCTCATGAACTAGTTCAAATCTTGCCTCCAGGGTCTTCGATGTGCTCTCAATTGATAAAGACTCGACATTGGACAAAATAGAAGGAAAAGTAAGAACTGCGCCGAGAGACGGCTTAGATCAAAATCAGCTGTGTGCACGCCTAATGTCGCGTTTAGGTCGTCAGCCGAGAATTGTCTTCCACTGGTGGCGTCAACCAACGTGCCTTCTAATTTCACAAGCTGCTCCATGCAAGGGTGATGAAAGCACAGCCGCATTTCGCTCAGACTGCGATCGATCGCCTCAAAGTATTTTTTGCACAATGCTGCTTTGGGATCGAGCGCGGGCGGGAGAGACGTGCTGGACATCTGAAACCTCCTCGGCGGCTTTGTAGGCCTTCCCCTGCGAGGCTCCTTCAAATCTGGCTGAGTTGCAACAGCGCTTGTGCGGACCCACAACTCCTGAAACGCGGTTTCAGACCGCAGGCGGAACATTGCCTAGAGTCTCTGCAGCTTCTTTCACACCTGCAGTACGAAACGTTGAGCGTTGGAGGACCCTTGCTCGTTCCTCAGGAGATATTTATTCCCAACAACGTTTCAAACTTTCCCAGGAGTGTTTGATATCCCTTCAAAACGGCTGTGCTGTTGTCTGCCTTCGAGCCTGTTCCTTGAAGGATCTCACTCAGTGTTTCTTGAACCCTGGCAGTTCTCAGTGAACCTTTTCATCGACCCTGACTGTCCACCTTGTCGGGCACAGTGGCAGAAGGCTATATTCCCAGCTAAAAATTATCATTAGATCCAATTGGAATTCTAACTGGTTTTAATTGGAACTAACCGGTTTTAATGGGTTCCAATTGGAAGCACACTGGCCAATGGGTCTCACCAGTTTGAAAAAATTTTCCAGTTGGAAACCTAATGGGTTTCAAATGGTTCCCGTTGGTTCCCATTATGCAGTGACCAATTGGTTGTCCGAAAACCTAACTGGTACCAATTGGAAATTCCAATTGGAATCTAATGAGAATTTTCGACTGGGTTCGGCACTGACTGTGGCTCATCCGATGGATCCCCCTCTGAGGGAAGAACAATCGACGAATTAACAGTTTTGCACTTCTTTGATTCAAGAACGACTTTGGAAAGATCGGTACTCGAAGCATTGCCGATGAAATCGCAGCTCTTACTAATTTCCTGCAAAACAATATCTAGGCAATCGATACTACAATGTACATACAATGATCTCGGCTCAGAATTACCAATATTTCTTCTGTACTCCTGTAAAACGGCCGGACATCTTAGTTGCCCCGTCAAATCGGCGGCCACGAAAGTTGTGGAAATCAAGACTAAGGCGCAAAATCATATATTTGATGGCCAAGTATACATCGTGTCAGCCCTGCTATAGATCTGGCGCGTTAATTGTACAGGCCTAAAATAGTTTTCGTGGGCGTTGAATGCCCTGTCAGCCCAACGCACGCAGATGGCAAACTTCTCTTCACCTGTCACATCAGTTGTTCCGTCAGCTATTATGCCGTAGAACGGGCTACAAACCGCGTCTCAAACGATTTCCCGCCGTACCGTGTGGGCCATAATCTCAATTAAGTCGTCCTGCACGTTACTGCTTATTCATTTGTCCCCCTTTGCCATCCATTTCCTCAATGCTGGAACATCCCCTGACCTTTCATCAAATCGAGTAGTTTTCCATCGTATTTAGTGCGTCTAATCAGAGCTTGGTCCGTGCGACACACGTAGCTTACAATGACACGTGACCTACTGGCTTCCTCCTGCTCCTGCTGCTGAGCCCCCCCCCCCCCCCCCCCCCCCCCCCCCCCCCCTCTCCCCGGTTCCGGAGCCCCTGGTAACAGTGACACGTTACCCTTTCAATCAGTCTACCTGTAACAGGAATAGTTTTTTTTTCCTCCGAACAGTAATGTTTTTACTTTCCTATGGAGTTAGCGTCAGAGTGAAATCACGGCACGAGCCGTTTTCGTCGCCTCTCCTCTGCCTGCTTCCTCCTTGGCTCCACCTCCCACTGACGTGAAGAACAGAGGAGAGGTTTGCGCGCTGTTCTCGCGTACCGCGTTGGAACTTGGCACAGCCATGAAGGAAACTTCCGCGCGTGCACCAGGAAAAGGCGCGCAACAGACGGGTGGAAAGGAGAACCGAATCTTTAATTAATCCTTTTTTTAATTAATTGCGCGTTGGTTTAGACAGGGGGAAGTAAACCATGGTCTCAATGGGCGTGTCTCGCAGTAGACGAGAGCAAGCCGCACGGCGAATGGGGCCGTTTGCTCTGTGCGCGATTGGTTCAACCGCTGATAGCAAACGCACGACGAGTGTGTGTGTGCGTTGGCGTGGGTAAAGGCTCAGTGCAGCAGCACTCTAAAGAAGTTTGTGCGTCTACTTTCACGCACAACCCTCGGAGAGCCAATCACCGGAACTTACGGAGGCAGCTCAGCGAATGACTCTGCCGAAACATATGTTTCGGCAGAGTCACGTGCATCGTCTGCGGGTTTCATCGCCAAGTGGAGAGCTCCGATAGGCATCTTCCGCGCGCGCTTCTGAACATGCGGGATCGTTCTTTTTTGTTTCAGCTTAGGTCCGAGCGCGGCCGATGTTATGAGCCGAAGGGCCAATCAAACAGCGAAAGAGGCACAACGTCATGGCGTGCTTTCTGCAGTTGATAGGACCAGCCGGTATTCGCCGTCTCTCTGTGCACTGCTCCTCCGCCGGCTAGTCAAGCGCAGAGAGCACGCCATGACGTTGCGCTTTTTACGCTGTTTGATTGACCCTTCGGCTCATAACATCGGCCGCGCTCGGACCTAAGGCGAAACAAAGTATGGGTTCGGACTATTCCCGACATTTTGGTGCATTCTTGCTTTTTACGGCTTTGCGTTTTCCCCGGCTCGCGTTCTTCGTTCCCATGGTTAATTATTTTCTAGCATATATCACCCCCCCCCCCCCCCCCCCCCACCCCTCAAAAAAATAAAAAAAAATAATTTTGTTTTAAAGCTAGAATGATTCGTCGTTGTTTCTAAAGGAATAAAAAAGTTAACTGGGAAGCATGTGCCATATTTGTTAGAAATACCTAACAATTTTGTTCAGAACTTTCGATCAATGTGGTACCGGATATTGCATTTCATACTGTCGTCTCCTTTGTTACGTTGGCACACAGGGTGCGACTACAATTTATTAATATTAATCACCTCATTCTTTTTTATACCGCGAGATATTTTGTTTTGATAGTGTCTGCGTCGCAAAGAGAAAGCTTTTACTTTCGTCGACGTTTCTTCTAAAGAGTGGAAACGTTCCTGTGCTGGCAGACTCTTCTTCGATCGAATATATTTTCGTTGTTGACACTCGTTGCGGTATCACAGTGTTGATACCGTGACTGATATTTCCTGGCGCTGCCCTTTTTTCTTGCTTCGTGTTGCGTTGAATGGTTAAACTGTCAAGTTGAATGTAGAGTCCCAGAAACTCTGTGAGGCACCACGCATGCATCTCTGCCCCCACGCAGAACAAATCAGCGGAAAGGAAGTGAAGTAAATAAAGAAGAAAAATTACCTCCTTGTGCCGCTCGTCAATGTGCTCAATTAATTGACGTCTGAGTCACATTTATACTGTACGACAACTAACCCAAAGGTCCCCAATGACAAGCCGCGTAAATCAGCCTTACAACTGCAACGGCAAAATGAGTGCACGTGCAATGTAAAAATATGTGATATAACAGGATATAGATGCAGTCTACAAAAATGAAGAAACGGACTAGTTAATCTAAGATACAAACACACTTATCGTTAAAAAAAAAAGGCGAAAGAACTTTTTTATTCTATAAAAAAAAAAATAGAGCTTTAGAAAAAAAGTCAAATTTTCTGTAAAACTAAACGACTCTCGTTACCGTAAAAAGACCCACTTGGTCATCTGGGACTCCAACTCGGGCGGTTAGGAGATACCGTTGGAGTGCATGCGTTAAATGTCAGGCCAACATTGAAACGAATGTGTAAAACGCGATGGTCCAGCGTCTGATTGCTCCAACGATCACATAGCTTCCACCGCACTGTCAACTAAAGTGTGTGTGTGTGTGTGTGTGTGTGTGTGTGTGTGTGTGTGTGTGTGTGTGTGTGTGTGTGTGTGTGTGTGTGCGCGTGCGTGCGTGCGTGCGTGCGTGTGCGTGTGTGTGTGTGTGTGTGAGTGTGTTTGTGTGGAAAGGGGGGGGGGAGGGTTGCGTTTAAAGGTGCGCATAAACGCCCTTTGGGAGCAAAGAAGAGTATTTTTTGAAGAGCCGTCAATTTTCCCGCTAAATTTATTGGAGAAATTGACGTCACGTAACCAAGGTACGTGACGTTATGTGACCTCAAGACTCGTGACGTTAATGTCCCCGCTAAATTTAGCGGGGAATTTGACGTCACGCGGCCATGTCGTTACCAGTCACGTGGCGTCAATTTCTGTGAGGTGGTAATTTGCGCTCAACAGATTCTTTCCTCCCCTGTCTCTGTGAGCATGACCAAGCTTGTGTAATTTTTTCATTCCTTTCTCAAACGACCCCTCGTTCAGGCGCTCCGTGGTCTGGACGACGGCCTGTTATGCTGCGACCAGCTCCTCCAAAGTCAGGGTTTCGACGCTTCGTCTCGACGTCGACTCCTGGACATCCACGGCTCCAACGAACCATGCAACTTGGACGTCACTGCCGCCTTGGACAGCGAACAGACGACCTCCACGACCACCTGGCTCTTCTTAGGCGCCGCCCTGTGGTTCCTGCGAAGCTACTGGATGTGCGCGACTGCCGCTGCCCTCGTACTTCTGGTCTCCTGGCTGAGACGCTTTCTCCACAAAGTACTGGACCGCCGGTGGCTGAGGGCCTTCAAGAGTCGCAACGCCGTTCCCGTTGTGACCGTGGTCACCTCCGACGGAGTCGTTCAGGAACTCGATCCAAAGTCCTTGGTTCCGGGAGACTTGTTCCTGCTAGGTCTAGGAGACAGGGTACCCTGCGATGCGGTGATCGTCTTTGGGTCGTGTCTGGTGGAACAAGGAGACATCAGCCTGCCCCCGCTGGTCGCAAAGTGGGAGCTCGGTGACGGCGAAGACGTGCGCCAAGAGCTGTTTTGCGCAGCGAAGCACCGGGCCAGTACGGTGCTCTGCGGATCCACTGTGCTGAAGGTGCGTGGCGGGGACGTCATCAGGGTCGTGGCGCTGAGAACGGGAGCGGCTACCTTGCAGGCTTCGCTGCTACGCCGGAGAATGAGGCGTGAGAACTCTCTTCAGGTAAAGACAGTCAAATAAAATTGTTTGAAGATAAATTAAACTATGCCATCATGCGGGTCGTTCATTTCACCATCCAGAAGGGTTCTATGACGTTTTAAAAGCGTCCGCAACATATTTTTTGTTTGTTGTAACCTGCTGTTATTTGAGTATTTTCTTTGCACAGAGAAGAGATTCTCACAAGTTCACAAAAACAGACATAAGTGCTCAATATTGTATCCCATTTTTCTCGCAACAAAATGTTTTCTTTTCTTCGTAGCAGTGCAGGAGTGGGAGAGCAAAACAGTGTGACGTCAGAACTGTCATGTTAATTCGTATGGCCACATCTTACGGTCAGCGATATAATTGAAATAGTTTTTTCGAGCTGATTTCGCAATCAAACGTAAATTATGGGTTTAGAGAGAAACAATTAATAATTAAGCATCAATTGATTCATCTGTTTTCCCCAGGAGCCCGAGCAGGATAGCACAGGAGTCCTTGCACAATGGACGGCCGCGTGGGCGGCCTTCCTCCTGTCCGTCTTTTTCTGGCTCGGAAGGGACCGTTTTACCTGGGACGAAGTCCTTCTTCGAGCCTTCAGCGTCCACGCTCTTCTCTTTCCACCCAGAGGCCTACTCCTGACCTTCTTACTCGAGTCTTGCTTTAAATCTGCCCTGACTTCCGCGGGCGTCACATGTCGCTACGACGTCGTCGCATCCACCCAGCGTTGGGGTTCCACCAGGGCCGTTGCCGTCGATGCCACAGGAGCCCTCTGCGGCCCGGCCGAGAAGCTGGCGGGACTACTACCAGCCGGATGTCGAGGCTTCGGAGCTGAAATCCTCCGAGATTCACTGGGGTTGTCCCGCGGTCACCCGCTGCGCTGGGCGGCTGTAGCGGGCCAGTCCTTGTGGGTGGAAGAGGAACGAGGGCAGGCGATGGGTCATCCGCATGAGGTGGCCGCCTTCGAGGAATCTGGAGCTGCGTTGCTGGTTGGAAATCAGGAGGTGTATGCACTGGGAGACTCTTCTGGAGAACGCGTACCTCCGGTGAGACTGCGCCCGCTGGTCAATCCCTTCTGGAGCACCAGGAGGCTCGACGAAGACCTCAGACGAGCACGTCCACCGCAGGATGTGGTCGCGACTTGCGTACTACCGAGGACAACCGCCGCCACGAATAGGGATGATGCCGATGTCGACCGCGAGTCTATGGACCGCCGAGACATCCATGAGGATTGTGCACATGTCCACGACCGAGACGACGGGAACATCGATGCCAAGAGCCTCGATGCTGGCGGAGACGGGACGACGATCGCGGAACCTTTGCGAATCATCAACGCCAGAGCTGCCTCAATGGTTGACTCCTTCAACGAGAGAAAACACTCTGAGGAGACCACAGTCCTTGCTCCGCAAAACATCACGCACAGGCCAGGTGCACAGAATAACCCCCGCTACTTGTCGCCCTTGCCGGAGGTTCGAGTGTCGTCAGCTTCGAGAATCAACCGAACGGCAGTGAGTTTGGCCCTGGCTGCTCTGCTCAGGTCCCTGATTCGGTTGCTGAACGAGCTGGCGGAGCGCCTGGGTTGTCTCTCCTGTCCGAGGCGTCGGCGGCGACGAACACCTCATGGTACACTGAACGAGACTCTGGCCATATGCCCGCCTCCACCATCCGAACTTCACTCTTTACCGGGAGAGTCGCCAGGCGCTCCGACTGGTATAGGTATGCGATCGCAAAGTTCTCCATCGGATGAGAGCTTGACTTTATCGTTTTACGTAATATGAATGGTTGCCATGATTTGTGGGAAAACGCATTCGCGCTAAACACCCTTTCCTAGTGTACAAAGGGTGCTTCGGAGATGACAAGTAACACCCATGGCACACCCTTTCAGTTCCCCTATTACACCCTTTATAAATACGAGGTAAGGTGCTGCTTTCTGGAACGTGCAAAAAGGGTGTAGAAAAGGGTGCTGCGGTACAGTGTGGGTAGGCACTGTACCGCACTGCTGTGCCTCCGTCTTGCGCATGCGCAGTCAGACGGGTAAAGACGGGAGCTGACATCGGCGGTCCCGAGAGAAGGAATGAGAAAGAGCGACAGAAGAGCGGAGAAAGAAAGCAGACGAAAGGCCAAAGGCGTGTTCGTTTTGTTGCGAAGAGTTGAAGTTGCTCGAGCGCTTGTCAACTTTATTTCCGGTGTTTTCCTGCAAAGTAAGCTAGAAAAGAACAAGGTATACGGCGAGAAACTGACAGAGAGGAGGAGACGAGAGAACAAGAGGACGTCAGAACGCCGAGCTCTGATTCCAATAATTAGTGGGTAGACCTAAAGCTATATCTGCCTTTGTCTCCACTCTCCACTGCGCTCGTCGAACGCGTTCGAATGCGAAAGCCAAACGCCGGCCATTGACGCTCCGTGTCCGACGCGTTCGACGAGTGCAATGGAGATGCTGCTAGCTCAAACCCACTAATCAATCCAACCAGGGCTTGGCGTTCCGACGTCCACGCGCGCCCGCGTCTCGTGCTCTCCCTCTCGGCCAGAGGGCGTTGTAGCGTCCACTAGACGCGACCACAAAAAAGGCACCTCCGCTAGCGTCCGCGGTACGCGACCATTTAATGCTGATGCGAAGCGGCGTCCTAGCCACCTGTCAGCGTCCCTCAGCATGTCCATGATTCGCGCGCACTAAAAGCAGAGAGAGAGAAGCGTTGCGAGAGAGGTTGGGGGGGAAAGGGAGGGCCAATAGTGTATGCGCACTGGGCGCTTTTGTCATTGGCTCTGACGTCAAGCATAGCAAACGCGGCGTATGGTAGCGCACATAGATACTGATTGGTCGCAGATATCGAGTTTCTGCTTGCCGGCCAATGAAAGGCCCCCGTTCTGCGCTACGCCACGTTCGCTGCGCTCAGAGCGGAAACGCGGCCTGAAAATGTCCGATGTTGCTCGCCAAAGGGATGCTGAACCAAAATCTGGATTCCCCAAAACACGCGGCAAAAGCGTGCAACGGGATGCTACAAACACCAAAACATCACTCATACAGCGATATCTCGAACGGATGACCGTATTTTTCAAAAAAGAGGCGCATTTGGCAGGAATGTTGACGTCACGTTTCTCCGAGAAGGAGAGGGAACGGCCTCGTGTCTTCTCCGCTTCGCGGCCTTGAGGGAGCGAAGCGAAGAGATGAGGAAACAAGGTATCCTGACGTCTCGCGCCTCGTCGGCCTGGTTCAATCTCGACTTCGTTTTCCAAAAATACGGCTGTCCATTTGAGATATCGCCTTACTAGTAGTGTTGTAGGGATTGTAGCGTCCCGCCTACACCTCCAGCATTGTTTTTTTAAAATCCAAATTTCGGTTCACCATCCCTCAAGGGCGCTGTTCGAAACTTGAGACCTACAGGAGACCAACAGGGACCTCCGACGTCCGCGTCTATGCCCCACCGTTCCGAAGCGGCCCGAATGCATGAGACCTCTCCCTCTAGATTATTATATGTGCTCAGCATAGCAGCAAAAATGTTCGCGGGGCGCAAGAGCGGACAGATCGACATCACAGGCGCGCTTCGCCGGTTGGTTTCGGTTTGAAACCGTGTGCAAGGATGACATTTCTTGTCCTGCAGCGGCCGCTACTATTTTTTTTTTTTTTTTGTAATAAAAGTTTCACGTTACATAGCTAGACGATTATAGGTCTTGCGTCAATTCTCCAACCATATTATGCCCCACAAGATGAACACTCATAAAGTTTATGAACTTTTAGGTAATTGGCCTACTAATTAGCACAGTTCGTAATTAAGCTCTTTTCAGGTGACCCCCTCTTACGCCCCGGGAAAAAAAAATTAACGCAAGTAATTAATTTTTTTTTCTTTTTTTACAGCGGAGCTGTTAAGGGCTAGGTTCCCCAGGATCGTGTCCGTGCATGTCGACACAAACGTACCTGGACAGCTACCGCCATCTATAAGCGACAGCGGCAAGCACACAACCAGTATGGTTTCCGCCGTCGCTCGTAGATGGCGGCAACCTTTTCAGCTGTAATAGAAGAATGGATAGTTGGGCGCGTTGGTGGGAATTCATCGTCAAAAACAGCGCGAAAAACAGACGACGACGACGAAGAAGCACGCAGTGTATCGAGTACAGCTCCGCTGGTCTTCCTTCTTCACGAGAGTGAAAAAACTGAACTTTTTTTTTTTTTTTTAATTTTTGATATACTAAAACATTGAATGTAAGATTTCACTGCAAAGTTGATTTGTAACCGCTACATTTTCGACATTCACTTTTTAAAATATTGTTTTTAAATGTTTGTTGTTTACGCATGCACTACCGGTCTCTGAAGAAGCGCTTCCCCCAAATGCATGGCTGCGCTGCGGCTAAGCGACGTACGCAGGATTAGGGTGCCCACACCGCGGATGTCGCTTCTCTGCAGTGAATCACAACTACCGGATCTCGACCAATGGGAAATATTGCAAAGCTCATGTGGTGCCAGAGTTCGACACGAAGAGGTCGGATCGAATATTACATAATATTCGAATCAGTAATCGAAAGTGTTGCACAAGCGTACCGTCACGACTCGGCAGCAGAGTCGCGAAACGTTTTAGTGAAATGTAAATTGTAGCAGGCTGTAGACTGGCGCAGTCATCATATAAGTGACTTCGATTTGAAAAAAAAAGGCTTGGCTGCTAATGGATTCGTATAAATGTTTTTTAGCCTGCATTCTTGATTAACGCAAGTTTTTTCCTTCAGTGGTTTTCATATATAAATGGACCAGCTAGCTGCACGTTCAAGGCATATCAGTGTTGAGGCACGCAAACCTGATTTCTACCCTTGAAAAGTGGGATCCTTTCAACTACGTACTACTGCGGGAGAAAAGAGGATAGAGTCAGTTCGTCTCGGGGCAGTTGGCAACAGGCGCCTGTTTCTCACAGGGGAAATTTCAAACGGACAACCCGTCACACAGGAATCACTAGTCTGGCTCAGAGACCCGTCTCAACCTAAATAAGGCTTAAGTAAGGACCTAAGTGGCGAACACAGCATTCACCATTTCGTACTGCCCGCTCTACTTCAGGAATATCCACGTACAAAGTACCCTAGCTGCATGATAGGCAATGCAGAAACTATGGCTATGATTGCAGCTTTGGGTACCCTTCTACCCATAACATCCGCAGGCTGTCAAACTCGGGCCTTTAGCTTCGAACACTATCTTGGAACAACCGACCAAGCTTTCGCTTACCATATCCCAAAAGTTGACCCGCCCCCAAAAGATAACCCACCCCTATTTTTCGCATGATTTGCTATTTATTTTTCAAAAACACCGATAGTTTCCTTTTAGTAATTTCAGTGCCCTGGCCAATGATGACGTCGGCCAATGGGGTTAGAAAGCTACGACGGGAGACAAGTGAATATGGCTGACTGGGAAGAACAGTTGTTTATGCTCCATTGCCCCTCAGTGTAAAAACAGGTTCGGCAAGTCACAGAATACAAAATTAGCATTTTTAAAAGATTTCTTGATCGCACTCCAAAAGCTAACCCACTCCTCACTTTCACCCAATTCGCTCTCGCTTTTAGGTGGGCTATCTCTTGAGATAATACGTTAGTCAGTGAACCAGCATTTACCGGTTGCCCTATGACAAATGCGCACGTGACGAGCCGATTCTGGTTAGAAGAGAACCTTCTCTTTTCAGAGAGGAGACCCGGAACGGAACAAGAGCAAGTCGTGGCAGCTTGGCAGCGGCTGGAAGCCTTTCAAAACCGGCAAGCCTGCCGGCACCTTCACGTACTTCAGCGACATTCGCAACATGGCGTCGTCAGCGCGGTCCTCCTCCGCGCAGACAGGTATCTGGAGGTCCTTGTCAAGGGATGGCCAGCGGCCGTGCTCTCCTTGTGCCAAGGTCACCACGACACCCATCCTCCTCCTCAAGACACGGACCCAGTCGCGGCGTCTCTCCACGAACGCGGTCTGGGGCTCTCGGCCGTCGCCTGGAAACAAGTCGACCTACACCCCGACGATCCTGACTACGAGGTCCTGCTTGCCCGGACCTTGGAGAGCGATCTCAACTTCGAGGGCTTCCTGCTGTTCGAACCGGTGCCGCGACCAGAAGCCGTTTCCGCCGTCGAGAACATTCGACAGGCTGACCTGCGCCCCGTCATCGTGGACGAAGACAGCGTTTATCGCTGCATCGCGGTGGCACGTGCCACGGGGGTCGTACAACCAGGAGAGCCTGTGCTCCTTGTAGCAGCCCGACAGTGTCCTGTTGGAGGTCCTCGTGTTGATGTCCGACGCCTGGAGACACCGTCTGGCCTTGCCGTTACTCTGCAGGACATCAATTCTGAACCATCCCGCGTGCACTATGCTCTGAGTGCAGACACGCTAATTGTCCTCCGCGAGCACTTTCCAGACCTCCTGGAGTCTCTTCGAGAGTCGGTGTCAGTGCTGGGAGGCATTTCGCCTAAAGACGTCCGATCCACCGCAAGTGACCTCAATCTAGATGTCGTCTGCTGCGGAGGGGCTGCGCTTGCGCTGGCTGCGGGAAGTCCCGGTGGGCTAGCCCTAGGGCTCCACGGGGAATCCTTAGCAGCCCCACTCCTCTGCCCGTCCATATCCTGCGCAGCTGTGCTGGCCCAAAAAAGCCGTGCCTGTCTCGTAGGACGTGGGTTGGCACAAGACTTCCTCCTGCTCAGTGTCTGTCTACAAGCCTGTGCACTCCTCATTCTTTATGCCGAGCGTGCCACTATCACCGACGGCATGCATCTGTACCTCGAAGTCATTTCATGCGGTGCCCCTACAATTGGTTTGGCTATCCCTGGTCAAACGGGACTTGCAGACATTCCGCCCCAACTTGATGCTCCGTCCCTAGTAATCCACATCCTCAGCTGGTTATCTGCGCAAGTCTGCCTCTTGGGACAACTCCACTGCCAATCCTGGTACAACCACCTGACACGACAGATTCAGCGCCGCGTAGATGCCACGGTCGTGTTCCTCCTCGCGGCCTTCCAGCTTCCCCTTCTGGCCCTACTCCTGGTCACGCTCAGAGGTGGATCCAGACCTAGAGTTCTTTTCGCCGCCATTCTACTGCCGACGGTGGCCACGCTGACTCTCCTCCTGTTGCCGTGGGCAGGAAAAGTGTCGCTCTTGCTTGGACTGCCTCGCTGGAAAACAGATAGAGACACCGTGATCCTTCGCGCTGCGGTTCTCCTTATAGCTGCGCTCCAACTGCTGGTCGATGCCACTGCTCAGGTCTACCTGGCACCCCAGTTTCGACGCCGGCCGCCCAAGGTGTTCAGAAGACGGATTCCGGTAGCCCAGAGCCATGTTGGAACCCTGCCTTGAGTTGGGCATACATGTTCAATAACATTATTTAAGGAACGTAGCAAAAGAGTGTAGTTTTTTCAGTGAAGATATGTTTATTAGCTATGTTTTGCCACAAGATGCTCAGATTTATTATGAGGATGCACTGCAGCTTGTGTGTCTAGATGAGGGATGATGCTGTTCAGGCGTAATCGAGGCACAAGTGACTCAAGACTGGCTTGGCTTGCCCACTCTTCCCCTGCAAGTTGAAGGAAGCTGGGCTTTTTTTTCCAAAGGACACGAAGGAGGACGGTTGAAGATTTACTCGGACAAAGAAGGATCAGAGAAGTTTACCTTCGCTGTTGACCTTCGTCCTTGCGAAGAACATCGAGGAAGCGACCTCTTGTCATCTCGCGTGCTGCAAAGCAAGTAAGCAGGATGGTGATCTAAATGTCCTGCAACAACACAACCTACAATAGTTTAGCCCAAAGCATATTGCCCTGGAAATTATTAAATCCTTATATAATATGAATATAATTAAAAATGTTGCCCATATGCATCGAAACTGGTCATTACTTTCTAGAGACTGGTTCATACTAATATCATCAAGGCAGTTTACAAGGTCAGGATGAATTTGCAGATTTTAAAATGGATATAATAAATACAGCGAATAGCTATCTGGGTGAAACGGGCAAATTCACATAACTGGTGTCCATCACCATATTAGTCATACACCCATCATGCTCATGAATACTAAATGTATGACATTTTACTTGTGCTATGATAATCATCCCCACACATGTCACTATAGACAAAAATTCCTAAAACCTGGCTCCCAATGAACACCTTGTGCAATGACCACGTCCAAGTTTTTGCCTTAACTTACTTGAATTTTTTTTTTAGTAAATATATTTTAGAGGTTACTGGTCTGCTTGTACAGTGGGGCCACTGTTGTAATACCCAAAGTCGATGGCACGCAATCGCAAGGAGAATGCAAGTAAATTGCAGGAAACAGAATGCTGCCGCTGCACGACTTAAAGCTAAGGTGGCTCAAGCTACGATCTGTAGTCTCCGCAAACGGGAGAAACGTAGCGGAAGCCGCACGACCGTCGCATCGCCGATGGTCGCACTAGCACCAGCTTCTGCGACGTGCTAGGGTCACCTTAAAGGCAGCTCCAATGCCTAAACATGCCCCCTCCCATGATATTCAGTGCATGGATATTTCTCCTGCTGCGTCTCGGATCAGTACGAGCGTAGGTAACGCTGGCCGACGGCGGTGCAGCAGTTGCCACCATCTTGGCCTCGGTTGGCGTAGGTCGTTTGAGCCGACTGAGGTTGGCGAGCTCGATTGGGCCTGACTGTCATCAGTGCCCCCGTGTATCTCCGGCCGGCGGTTCTTGAGTCGACCGTCGTTGGGTCGACGACACTCAAGAGCGCCCGTGCAACCGGGATATTAGGCAGGTGCATGCAGATTGAACTGACAAATGGCTGCTAGCTGTTGCTCTTTTTTTCACTTCCCTTATTTGAACGCAGAAGATGTTCCTAGTCTCTAGTTCCATTCCGACAAAATCTTATACAAACAACTAGCTGCTTAGTGAATAAAACAGACTATAAATGCGTGAAAAAAAAAAGGTAGCTTTCTTTATTTACTGCCCAAACTTCCCACAAGCAGGGTGTGTTAGCGATATATATATATATATATATATATATATATTTTTCGCCAGCTCTCTTTCCCTTTCCCTAACTTTAATGCAATAAATTCAATAATCACCTTCTCCCCTCTTCGTTCTCAATATTACTACGGCTGCACTTGTCAATCTTCATTCAATCCCATTATATATACGGTGCAGCCTGTCCCTATGGGGAGGAGTGGTTCCCTAGATATCCTGGAAGACGGGCCCTTTCCGACATTTGCAAGCTGAGATGACGTGCCACGTCACTGCCGCATGTCGGAAATAGCGCGGGCCTTAAATCAGCAACGGTTGTCGTCTACCCAGTTAAGCGAATTCGAAACTTAACAGTACACAGAGAGCTGGTCAGAAATTGAGTCCGCCGAAACCAGTGGCCAGGATGGTCCAATCGGTTAAGGCGTCGCCCCGGTCAGGCGAAGGTTGCGGGTTCAATCCCCGCTCCTGGCCCAATTTTTCGCCAGCTCTCTTTCCCTTTCCCTTTCCCTAACTTTAATGCAATAAATTCAATAATCACCTTCTCCCCTCTTCGTTCTCAATATTACTACGGCTGCACTTGTCAATCTTCATTCAATCCCATTATATATATATATATATATATATATATATATATATATACATATATATATATATATGCAAATCTGGGCAGTAGGATGTGGCACTGTTAAGTAACTTCACGAGGTCGAGTTATGGTGTCGTGCGGTGACAAACGCCACTGAAATGGTAGCTCGCCAAGCTTAGCTGGACAGTGCGGTACAGCTACAGCAATGTGCCACGAATCCCAACTTTGCTTTCATTACAATGTATTCTGCACTAAAGAAAGGTTAGAAGGGTAACCTGGCGCAGAACTCGTTGCAATCTCAAGCTCTCTAAATACAACAACTGTTGTATGATTGAAATAATAACTGAAATCGTAATAACAAAGTCTCAATAAAGTTCATTTTCATGTAAAATTTTGCTCTACCAGACAACTATATTTTTTTAATATATATTTGTTTAACTTGCAACATTTCACCCCCTTCTCGGATGCAGTCGCTTTACAACGGTGTTGCAACTCCGGATCTCGACATCTGTGCGTCAGCCTCAGGGTTCTGCGGCCTGTTGAGTAATTCGCACTTTACAAACTAACTTTCATTTGCATGTTTTGTGCTACTTTTGTATTAGCGTGTCTTGAGTGTGACCATGTATATTTTCGTTTCTTTCTTATAGTGCTTTTGTAGAAGTGCACCAATCTAAAGACCTCTGCGATCGTTTTTGGGCGCTATTATTATTATGAACATTACCATTATTGTTATTGTCTTTCTCCCTCGACATAATCTAGGCCAAAAGCCACACGGACACACTAGCAGCGACGATCGGGTAATGCAGCGTAAAGAATGAGCGACTCACATTCCTCAATGCCCAGCTTGTAAGCCAAGTTCTGCAGGTCCTTAACCTTCTCGAGGAGCGCAGAGGCCGTTAGGCTTCCCAACTCTGAAGAGAGAGCAACCACGTCACAAACCAACCAAGGCACGCCGCACGAGCTCACCTTGTAGCATGACAACGCCTTCCTCGTCCAGAGCCCATTTTGGCTGTAAGCTTCGAGAATGCATTGGCTGCAAATGACCGCGAAAGCAGTCACGTTTCAATCCGCAAGCCAACGGCATGCAACACAACGTTGAAAGCAGCTTTAGTACACGGCGTAATTGTCATCTTAGTGTCACCGGAGATCTAATTCTAAAAGCATTGGTCACAGAATTTGTTTGTGCCCCCAACGCTACTTTGTTGCGTAGCTGCCGTGCCTGCCTGTCATCCTGCCGTTGCTGGGATACACTTCGTTCACTGGGTCTTGGCAAATGGTGCGGACCGTTTCTGTTTTTTTGTAATGGAAGCTAAAGAAAGATGAAGCAAAGTTTGGTGTGGGCCTAGGGGATGGTCTGCCTTGTGTGCCAAAAACAAGCAGTGAAACGCCTACCTTTTCCTAAGAATACAATATAACCTCATTACAGCAGACATTCGGTTACAACGTACCAATTTGTAAAGTTTGATTGGTCTTCCCATCTATGCCATCGAGCCAACTTCGCTCAATACACATTCTGTTATAACATACACTTGGATATAATAAACTATATTAGAAAGTTTCTGAGTAGTTCACCATTCCATTATAGTAGAATGGCTCGGTGCCTCACAAGCCTCGTGTGACCCAAAGCATGCAGTGACGACGACCATCGGGTACAGCTCAATAAAAAAATCACTACCTTTCAAAGTTCAGAAGTTTCAATAAACCAATGCTGTTCTAATATCCATTTACATTCCGTCAGTGTCACTAGTTAGAACTAGGGATGCCACGAACCACCCAAGGTTCGAATTCGAAAGGTTTCGATATTTTCGACCGTACGGAGGTTTGAATTAAAAAAATTCACAACCTTAAAGAATTGTGGAGTTTCGGATTCGAAAGGTTCGAAGCTTTCATGGTTTCTTAAAGTTTGGGTTTGATTATTTCAAATATTTTTTTACTTGAGGTTCGAGAGATTCAAAGGTTTCAAACTTTCCTAACTTGAAATTCGAGAGATTTGAATGTTTTGAATTTCTTTGAATCTGAAATTCGAAAAATTCGAACGTTTTGAACTCTTATAGACATAAAGTTCGATAATTTTGAAGATTTTGAATTTCTTTCTAGATAAAGTAAGAAAATTTCTAAGGTTTCAATTCTCCTTTAAAACTAAATAAAAAAAAAAAATAAAAACTTTGAAGTTTTTGAATTTATTTCAAGTCCAAGTGCGCAAAGTTCGAAATCCGGTTTTCATCTTCCGCCACCAGTTTCAGTTTCAAATACAATTTTCACGCCTCACTGGTTTTCACGAAATCAGGTTTAGAAAAGTTTGGGTGTGATATTTAGACTGCACGAAGTTGGCCAGGCAATCAAATGAGACGACGAGTGTCCCGGATGTGCTGGAATATTTGCCAGTGCAGAGTGACGTGTGACCATAGATAAGTAATTTGACTGCCAGCCCGGGGGGGGAGGGGCGGGTCATTAACGTGCATCACAAAGTAGTGATCACACAAACGCACTGTTTAACGATACGCACCGAGTTCGAAACGGCCAGGGGCAGGCAGGTGGTTGAGGCTCAGAAAAACCTTGAAGCAATCTGGCAAACTGCCTCCCTACCCCTTGCACGCTGGTAGTAATCCAAACGCCGCCCGAGTGACGCTGGCATATAGTAAGTTTAGTCTGTACATGATGCAAAATCCTGAGACTGGGAATGAAATTTGAAAGAAAAAGTGTAAGAAGACAGAAAAAAGGGGACAGGACAACGTCTCTAACTCCAGCTCAGGACAACATCTCAAACACAACTCAGCTGAAAACTCAGCTCAGGACAACGTCTCAAACTCAACTCAGCTGAAAACTCAGCTCAGGACAACGTCTCAAACTCAACTCGGCTGAAAACTCAGCTCAGGACAACGTCTCAAACTCAACTCAGCTGAGTTTGAGACGTTGTCCTGTCCCCTTTTTTCTTTCTTCTTACACTATTTCTTGCGAATTTCATTCCCAGTCTCGGGATTTTGTATCATGATCAACATACACCAGCTCGCCTGCACCTTGACAATTTTTTTGTTTGTAATTGCTTTGGAGGTTTATTTTCCGGGACGAAAAAAACGCTGAGCAAAAAGCACAGGAGCTGACACAACTGACACAACTGAAAAACGCAGCTGACAGTCTGCCCTCTCTCCCTCCCTCCCTCCCCCCTCTCCCCCCCCCCCTCCCTCCCTCCCTCCCGGCTTCAACAGTTCAGCTACATTGCCTTAAAGAGGCACTCAAGTGGAACCTGAGATTGTCTATTTATGGTGACAACTCGGGCCCTAAGCATACTAAAAAAAAAGAAACTACAATAATATGCGGCCGATTTCTCTATTAAAAATCTGGTCAAAGATTGTGACATGCCCCTCTTTCTGCACCTTAGAGCAGACACCAGGGGAGCGCTATCGGACAGCCTTTTTCAGAGCCGTATGTACAGAGTCTGGTCAATGGGAGGAGCCGGGGTGGAGCGACGAAAGCAGCGCCGCCAGACGGATGCAGCTCCGAAGTTCGTGGGTTCACCAAAGTAAGGCGCAATATGATACCAATTATACATCCATCCATGCGTTACCACCTGTACCCAGTTCGGGATTTCACCGCTACATTTTAACGTGCTGCGGTAGAAGACGGCCTCAATCACAATAAGGTCAACGTTCTTCGTCCGCCTGAGCCAATCGAAAAGCCCCTCTCTTGACGGGGTTGCGTAATCTGCGAAGCCAGCGTTTGAATTTCTACCCAAGGCTGCTGCGACAGTTTTCTCTGTTTTCTATTCTCGTCACGCGCTGTGCAGAAGCAGGGATGGCTCAGATGCGTCGACGTGAAGTTGGCGAAATCGACATGTCGGAACTGGAGGATCTTTTTTCCGTCCGTGTTTCCCATGAGGCCGTTCGATCACTAGGAGTATGTGAGGTCCGAGCAACGTTTTGGTTTTCGCTCGAAGCACGCACACTCATCTGGGATGCGGCGACCGGAAATATGCGGAAGACCGGCAGCCTGGACTTTCGTTTACTGGAGGCGAGTTCTAGCTGCATTCTGTGACCTTACCTGTACGTAAATATATTTAGTCGTAAGACAAAAAGAAAGGTCAATGAAGTTGTCCGCAGATGTTAATAATGTAAAACGACTAACCCTTTTTTCCCCTTCTTTTTCTATAAAGACGTATGTTTGTTGACTTAAGTGTTTACCTCCCCGAGGAACTTGCAAATTAGTCTCGCCATACGTGGAACAGTTTCAAACGTGCCGAAGCAACCGCACATAGAGTGAATACAGGCTTTGTTTCTACTAAATATTTGCAGAATAACACTGTTATCTACTTAGTGGAAGAAGTTCACCCCTCCTAGCGCAGACTTGACCAAGGAATTCAAAAAGTCCGCAATCCAGTCGTAAATGCGCAAGTGCTTGCGAAACTGTATTGCTCTTTGGAAAATACAAATAAAAAATTTGGCAGATTTCTCTGTTGTTGAATATAATGCCGTGTACCCCTCTGTGGGGTTATGCGTTTTTCGAAGATAATTATTGGGCACAAAAGCTATATTTAAATGTTCCGGGCTCAAACAAGCTATCTTTGAAAATCACAATCACACCAGCAAAGTCAGATTATGGATGGTCAGAACATAGAATACGCGGAATGAATGGTGGGGGAAAAAAAGAAGGTAGGCTTTGGAGGGGGGAAGGGTGGGAAGCTGCTGCAGCTCCAGCCTGTGCGCAGCATGATTGGCGCCGTTAGTGCCATCTGTAGGCATGCTTTGTGCAAATTTTACTTCCTACCCAGACCTAGTTCCTGATTCTGCCACACCGACTTGTGTCGCTAGTTTTTCGCTACCACGGTGGAAGCTACAGCTGCACCCGGCTGGCGCTGCCGCCAGCACCGCATATTCACCCCGTGATGAGCTTCCGAAGTAGGAATGAGCTTCGACAACCTTGAAGGATTCACGTAGCGCAACGCAAGTATTTTTTGTTTCTGGATGAGGCTGAAAGTACATGAACATATTTTTGTAAGAGACTGGTGGAAAAGAATAGTTTCAAGGTGCTGAGTGCATTTACAGAGCCAGGAAAAGTGACATTGATGAGAAAAATTTTCTGAAACATAAGGCAAAACTGTAAACGTGAGGTGCACGTTAGGGGTTTGGGTCAAATCCACAGTTTTTACCGTCCACTCTGTCGTGGCCGTGGCGGCAACCGTGGCCCCAAGTGCAATCAAAAGAAAGATTGAGTGCATTTTGAATGTTGCCGTGACGACAACGTCACGTGTGTTGCCCTTTCAGTTACAAAGAGTCGCAAATTTCGTCTCTAGCGTGCTAAAATGAAATACTTGAATACATCCTTATCTAGAAATTATGATTGGACGGTATTTGTTAAGCTCATTGCCTCAGCTAGGGGAATATTTGTGGCTAGTGGCAGGTCACAAGAGCTGTCAATCATCGCGCCCAAGGTCATTGAAACAATTTCGGCCAATGATGTGCCTTTACATACACCGAAAGATTTGACACTTTTGTCAAAATAGAATGCGCAATGTGCCTCAAAAGAGCGATAATAGTAGCGTTCGGAATCTCCATGCATTGAACTGTTTTCATTCGCCAAGTTTTATGGCGATGGTAAACACCCAAGGATGCAACCCCCCCCCCCCCCCCCAACAGAAAACAGTGCCCGTGCATTTCTTTTGCCGTGAGTTTACTAGGAAGTTTTGCCACCTAGAACTGGTCATTTTTATTGACTAAAGCCCAACAAACAATATGCCATCAAAAACAAGCTCTTACAAAAAAACATTTGAGTGCCCATTAAGGTCGGATTATACATGCTTCTCAGCGCTGAAATAATGCAAGGTCAGCGCTTTGTCTACAGTGCTGGGTTAGCTCCGTTGCGTAGGTGCGAACAGGTGTCGAGAGGAAGCTTTGAATGGCCTTCAAGTTACAAACAAACTTTGTTTCTCGGTGGCTCTCAAGAAGTTAACTCTGCAAGCTAATTGTTGGCCACGACTCTGAGGAACCAGAAAGCACACACCTCCGAAATGAGAAGGATGGACTTACCGGCACAAGCGAGGCAAACGCTGTGACCCCTGGAACTGTTGGAATGTAACAAGAAATGGATAAACTGTAAATGTGTGTTCCTCGTTTCTAAACCAGACAGGCTTTTGGGTGCCTTTAGGAAGGATAACTTTTCCAAAATAATTCAGGAGCTAAGGATTATAAGGAGATACTTCTGTGCCCAAAAATTCAAGTCGAAGAGATACTACATTCAGTGCGTAATTACGCTTCATTGGAAAAGATGCGGCAAGAAATATAAAAGAGTTTAGAGAAAACTGTGAAAAGCAAAGCAAGAAAGCAAACTAGACGTTGCTCAGACGTTGGGAAATCACGTTCGTCTTTGAGGTACGGCAACACTGGTTCACGCCGTAGATGAGAAATTTAACTGGCGCAGCAGGACTGCTAACCCGAGGTCTGTAACGTGCATCACACAGCAGTGATCATTGACTGCACATCAGTACGTTGCCCATTTGGGTCGAAACGGGCACTGGTGGGTACTGCACAAAGAAACGACCAAAGTCAAGGACAGTCCGCAACATTTTGGGCTTAGGGCAGGGACACTATAGTCCCGAGGGTTTGTAGCAGAACCACAAAAGCAAGCTAAGAAGCAATGTGATAGACTCACTAGTTTCGGGCCATAATTCCGGGGACAGTCGTCCGTCCAGCTGCTCCTCGCTCAGCAGATTTATGTTGGCTTCTCCTGAAATGGAAATGAGGCACCTTGATAACGAGTCTAGCCACATTAAAAGTGCACTAGAACAAAACTTAAGGTTCTTCCTAAAAAAAAAAAAAAAACATCAATAAAAACAAAAAAAAAATTAAAACTGTGCAGAGGATAAGACCGACTAATTAGGCTATGACTTCAGGGGCCCTAATTTACACGGTGGGACCAGGCAACTGTGACATCGCTGCCTGCTGCAGCAGGTGGCGATGTCCCAGTTCATTGGTCCTGCTTGGTCCCACAGTGTAGATTAGCGCCCCAGAAGCGTTAAAACAGTTTGCGACGAAGCAAAATTATATCGTCCGAATTTCTCGACGCCATATTTAAGCCCAGTAAGTCACGTTTTCGAGTCAAAACGATTGCCGCTTGTACCACCCTGCACGGAGTGCTACAATGGCACTGCCCACAAAAAAATCGAGGAATTGGGTGCAGATGCTCCGAAGCATAGCCTTATGTAGTCGCTTGAGGGAGGACCATGACCCAGGAAGCTTGGAAGATGTACAGAAACTTCAAGCTGGTTGTGAACGAATTTGGAAGGTTGACGAGTTGTCAGCATGTGCAAACAAGCTATGGAAAGAATGCCGGAGATACAAAAACATGTTTCGGCACAATTTACAACTCGCAAAACTATCTGCGAACTCGCAAACTATCTGCAACTTGCAAACTATCCCAAGTTGCATACATTATATCGCACTCAACTAGAGCAGCCGTAACGAGTCACAAGGGGACGATGCCGACTGCTTGGTGACAGGTGGCAGGTTATTTACAAGAAAGAGTCGCAGCAATCAACTAGACCAGCAAGCATAAATTCACTGGCCAGCCAGCGTACGCGAGAAATCACCTTTGTGAACTATGATAGCTATATCAATCCTACCCTGCTTATGTTGTCGGATGATATTGTTCCAGGAAAAATCCGGAACTTATTGTGTGTTAGACAGGAACAACAAAACTTATGTCTGCCAATCTAAGTCAACAATTCAAAGTTTTTTGTTTTGTTTTTTTCTCTTTTTCTGGTGGGAAGAAGGGCTTTTGAATCAACAGCGGTGAAAGAAGTGATGCAAGCATAGGCGGAGACTTTTCAATTTTCCGGGAGTCGAGGGGGGGGGGGGGGGGCAGCGAGGAATTTGCTGCCACCTTCTGTCTCCATACTGCCCTCCTTCTCCAATTGCCCTCTCTCACCCCTCCCTTGTCCTCCTTCTCCCTCTCCCATCCCGTGCGGAGACGCTGCTTCCTGGCAGTTTCACAAACGCGCAAGCATCATCAGTTACTTTTTTTTTTCTTCACATGAAAACAGGCAAACACGTCATCATTGCTATCAATTTACATCCGACATTTTTGTCCAGAAACTATTTATTTTCTATTAAATGCAGCAAAGTAGCTGCAAATGCCATATTCAGAAAATGCAAAAGCAAACAAAACGTCACTGCAAGCCTCCTTCGTGCAGGTTATCACTTGACGAATTAACATGACTCCATTAATTAAACACAATTTGACTTCTCAAGAGAATCAAGGGAAAATGTGCAAGTACATACAATTTAAACAAAAAAAAAAAAAAGAAAACGCATTTTCAGTAGTTAGTTATACAAGGACAAAAAACCAACTCAGACAGAGACAAACAAATGCACAGAAACTCTTATATGAAAGGCAACATTAAAAGATGAACAAGCGACTTACAAAGTTACGAAACGAAACTAAAAGAAAGCTCGGCTCTCAATGAAAGAAGTGTTTTGTTGTACCGTTGATTGCTTAATAAAGCCATCTGCAATGCCATTAAGGTTTATTCTGCAGGTGAGATCTTTGTGGCCATGCAGAAGTGCAACATGATTTAAGCGGGCCTGTCCAATGGTTGACCTCAAGTACGTTTTTATGCGACGGAGACTGGAAAATGATCTTTCTGACGTGCATGATAAGACAGGAATGGTCAATGCAATTTTAACCAACTTTGCCATTTCAAGAAAGAGGGCTCTTAACTCTTCGCCGTTAGCGCCCGAGAATACCACTACAACATCCTGAAATCGGCTCATTGGTATATTCTGTTGCTTTGCAATATCAATGAGCATAACATGAGGCAGCTCAAGGCGTCCAGGCCCAAGATCTGTTGCGTAAAACTCACAGAAGCATCTGATGTCTTCTACACCTGTTACAAAGCGTTCAATATGAGCCATGTGCTGCCACGTCTTGTGCTGCCACGTCACCGCTTCATAGAACCGCTGTCGATACACATCCTCAAAGAACGTGTGTACATGACCAGCGGATCCATTATCACATAGGCGCGGAGTCTTTCTTTCTTTTTGCGATGGAGCAGATGGTTCGTCAGCGTCAAGCTCAGCTGCCCCTGCACATGTCTCGTTCCAAAACGAAGAAAATCTTTTCCTTAGTTCGTTTATACACTCCCCAACGGCTGTAATCATTTTTTACGTTCGGGCAAATCTCAGTGTTGGCTTCTGCAATGCGGTATTTATAGTTTCCAACCGCGAAAATATTAGGAAGAGCAGTTTCAGCGTGAAATATGTGCTGAATTTCGACAACACTTTCAAGAATTGCTTTCTGTTGCCCCAGCATCATTCCGCTCGTCAGATGCTACGTGGTTCGAGAATACCATCAGCTCTCTATAATGAAGAAGGACTGACCAGAGAGAAGCAGCCGTGAGGGTCCACCTTGTGGGACATTTTCTCAAATTTATATTTTCGTCTTCTCGCTGCAGTGCTTGAGACAAACCGACACACTTTGAGGAGGACGTTACAAAGCTTATGAGATAGTTATCATGCTCAAGAAGTCACGACACATGTTCACGTTGTGGCTCAAGTCCTGTAACGCAAGATTATGGACATGCGTCATACAGTGCACTGTGACGGCGCCGTGCATTGTATCCTAAATCGAGGGTCACAGTAAAGCGAAATACCTATTTTTAAAGAGACAATGTTCTAACTTCTAGCTACAACAGCAGGTAGACAATGTCAAATATTCACCGGGGATCCGGACAATCCATTGACGATGGGCACAGTCCTCAACACTTGCAAAGAAAAGTTCTTCCCGTTGTTAAGATCAAGGAGTTCTCCATTCAGGCAGCATCAATCAGGGAAAAACAATGGTAAGGCACACCCGCCACTCGGAGGAATGAACGCGGCCTCCACCCTCCACAAAGACCCGTCACGACACGGTGTGGACAGTGTGCACGCAGCCGTCGACTATGTGTCAAAAGTCCCCGCCGGGAGCCAGACGCCAGACGGCAAGTTGATTCTTGTTCAGTGGGACGGCATGACGCACTCAACCTCAATGGGCAACTGACCAACTCCTCATCATGAGAAAGAAAGAGAGATAGAGAGAGACCGCTTGGTCGGGCGGCGCTTGCCGGAATGAAAAACAAAAATGGCGCTGTGGAAGGACTTGCTCTATGTTTGAACGTCGGCGGAATTGAGACGGGAGATATGAACCCTGATCCCCCACCTCTTTCCGGAAACTTCGGAGAGCCCCCAGCACCCCCGCAGTCGACGCCTGTGCTTCGAGGGGGGGGGGGGGGGGGGGGGTCATGTCTTCCCCACCCCAGGGAAACTTCGGGGGCGGGCTCGGGCTCCTGAGCAACCCCGTAGTCTACGCCTATGGATGCAAGAATGTCTATGGTTGTGGGTCGCACCTATACTCCGTTTCAGTAAAACCGTGCAGTACAGCCAAAGCTACAGGGGAGAGAGTGTATCCCGACCTGTTCAAAAGGGGGGAACGGGGGAATCCCAGCCCCTCTCTCCCGTTCCTCCTTTCCCTCCTCCCCCCGCAGCCAAAACATGCTCCCCCCGTAGCTTTGGCTGTACTGCACGGTTTTAGTGAGACAGAGTATAGTCCTTAGAGGTATGAACCAGCGAGGAATAAGGGAGTGCCAAGGGAATGCCACACCTTCACAGTTGCAGATACCTTACCCATATGGGAGCATATAGGATATGGAGCCCTGAGCTCTCTTGTTTCTACTGCACCTATGGCCGAATGGCCCAAGCCCAGCAATTTTCGGCTCTAAGGACGGACATCATTTGTCGCTACCATTCGACTGCTCCCTGTAGTAGCTGCGCATTTCCTGTTGAGGGTCACTAATTTGATGGTGCAAGGTATGCCGTGGTTACTGTAGCTCTTGTGCACTCAACATAGTTGGCCTGCTCTGTTACGATTTCATTGTCGTAACCTCAAACAAACCGTGCGAATATAGGCTTAAACAAAACAAAAAGAAAGCCTCAAATCGGGTTTCTTTTTTGGTAACAATGCTTGAAAACGCCCAATCTGGATGAGAATGTATGACCTTTTCTTGGGGGGCGTCATGCGTTCGTTAATCAGCCACGCAGTGCGGTTACAGGCTCCACTCTTAATATTCGCAGGGCCACTGTCCAAGGTAAACACTGATTGTGCACGTTCTTGAGATTGAGCTTGTTTCGCTGTTGATTTTTACTGCCCTGAAAATTAGGACAGCCCAACGCGGACAGCTCTCAGACCGAATTGAACTTAAAGGGTATGTTTGCTTCGCCAGCGTTGAGATCGCGTCTTGAGGTACAGTTATGTTCTGCTGAACCGCGCCACTAGGAAATCCAGCAAAAAAAGCTCTTTTTTCATTCATCAGTGCGCCCCATATGAAACAAATAAGGGAAGTCCAAATTTACCTCCGTTTGAAGACGCCATTTCGAACTTTCCAATGCCGCCAAAGGAGGGTGCTAAAATCGCCTTCAACATATTCGCGTTTGTTTTGCTAACAAAGCTTTCTAAACGAAAATAAAATTATTAAGTCGAATTTAAAACTAAACATTTGTAATCATTAATAGTTACTGGGATCAGCCAGTTTTGACTAGGAAAGTTTACGCTAGAAAGCGCATATTACCTACCAAACTCGAAAATAGTGGCTTGAACATTTTGTTTTTTAAATCGCTCCTGCACACGACTTTCTTGTGAAAAGCCGTGCTTATGCGAAAACAAGATCGACAACCAAGCCATTTTAATTAACAGTTATCTGAATTTTTTCCAATTTTGGTGTTGTAAAGGTTGAAAAAATTCAAGTTGGGCGTGTTGTCTTTGTACATCTATTATCTTTATAAAGGTCGCCAGTGTTTGCAGGTTTGTAAACGCCTACCAAATCGACACGCTAAAAACAGTGGTTGGCTTCAGAATTCAAGGTCAAGTTGGCCGAGTCGCGGACGGGTTTTTCCTCGTACGGTTCCGTATTTCGAAAGATGCATTTTGTTGTCTTCGTGAGAGATCAACTCTTCATTATTAACTATATTTTTTGTCTCGATCTTGAGCTCCGAACACCAAACCTTGCCAACTGATCAGTTCGAAGAGCTTGAAGCTGTAGTACTTACCTCCACGTTTACCACGCCCGTGAAGGTTGCAGACTTCAAAACAATTCTTGCTAAATACATACGCACACACACAAAAAAGTTACATTCAACAAATGTTTTATATTTTACCCACTGGTGCCTGCCGCAATACATGGAAAAGTCCACACTGGAATGCCATCCATGTCTTCTCTAGCGCTATGCAAGAAAATAGAACAGGCCTGCAAAAAATAAGCAGGTCTATTTGTGGCTAATAAGTTAATGCTCCTTCGTCTCTCTGGGGGAACTCTGGCTCAGAGCTGTTCCTTTGGAGCAGCCCTAGTTGAGGAACCGGATGCTCATCTTCTCTTCGACGTCTGTCTTGTCCAACGTTGCACAAAACTCTTCAAAGGAGATCATGTTGTCTCCGTCCTTGTCTGCTTCCATAATTGTCCGATCGGCAATACTTGCCAGCTATAAAAACAAAGATAAAAAGATGCACATTTTAGAATGGTGCTGATACACTGTTCCAGGGGTTACAAAAGCAGATATGGTGGTGGTGCAACAAAAATATTATAAAGCTGGTTATCTGCACGAGTTTAACAGCTTCCTTTTGGTTGCAGGAAAGTAATACTGGGTGGATGGATGAATAGATAACAACAGTTGTACTCAGCCGTTATTATAACGGGCAGTAACTTGCACCACCCAGCCTAAAAACAATAACAAAAAGCTGATTTCTTATTTCCCCTTTCAAGGCAATGCGTTTATCACCAGGACATGAAGATGATTGCCAGGCAGACCTCTGGGAGGATCAGGCAAAAAAACTAAAAACAGCACCCCCCTGCCCCCTCCCCATGCCGAGGGAGTCGCCGATTCTCCTCTGGTCGAACTTCGTCGGCCTTGCCTAGTATCAGCCACCCAATGAGGGAACAGGGTCGAGACTATGGGCTGGAGCCACGTGCACGGGAGTACCAACTTTCCTCTGTTCCGCCTGTCCCCCAGCTGTGCTCGTTGGTTGTATTTCGTTAAATTTCCCCTAGATAATTTCTACCAGCACTCCAACCTCCTTTTCGTTGCCTGTACTCTCCTATAATCCACCCTTCCATCCTTTCCAGCAAAACCAAGGGCCATTGGTACGTTTGTCGCCCCTTCGGGAAAGGCAGGACTAGGCTCCTTACATTTTAGAATCACATGCTCAATTGTTTCCGTCTCCTCCTTGCATATTGCACACACTGTATCTATGTCTCCAAATTTGGCCTGCATGTTTTTTCTCTTAAGACTCCCGTCCTCGCCTGAAGCAGCAGAGCGCTCCCCCTCGAACTACTGAATAAACCTGCCTTCTTTATTTTTTGCTTTTGTGACCTATAAATTGTTAAGCTGACTTCCCCTGCATTTTTTCCTCCCACATCCATCTCTCTGCCTCCTTAACTGCCCTTTCCACTGAATGCATTTGCTCCCCACATTGCCCGTCTGTAAGAATTTCATCCCAAGCCTTCATGTCCGTTTTGTCCATCTCGTGTTCAGACACCTCATTACAGGTATTTATAGATTTTGTGTGGCCACAGAGTGTCCTCCATGTCTGTTAGTGTTTGGTCAGAATTTATTTTACCCACTGCCTCTCATGCTCTGAAACGATGACCAGCCCCTATCACCCAGCACTCCCTTCTTTGGAGTGTTCCCATCTGTCCCTATAGCTATCCCGCCAACACTCCTTTGTCCTATCTCCAATTTCGCCTGAACTTCAGAACTCTTGCACAAGACTGCGTTACCAAAGGTCAATCCTGGTACCATTACTCCTTTCCATACTCCCCGCACCACCTTGCACCTATTAAAGTTGCAGAGAGCCCCGTGTTTCATAATGGCCGAATTTCTTTTACCCTTATCAATTCATTACAGTTGCCCCACACATCCCGTCTGTACTGAACTACTGAATGGGACCGCTCCATTGACGGAATGGGGAAATATTTAATTTCTGAGACTGCCTCGCTTACAGTCTTTCAATGAAACTGTGTGCAAGGGTAGTAAAACAAGACTCAACGAAACTGCGTGAAAAAACAAACAAACAAAATTCATCTATGGCCACTTGCCCAGATGACAGAACAGCGTACCTGCTCGTCCGAGATGTTGGCTCCAACCATCATGTGAAGGACCGCCAGCAGTTCGTCACGGGAGATTTTGTTGTCATCGTCCAAATCATACATCTTGAATGCAACTGCAGAGAATGATGCCACCAATCGAAACTGAAGTTCAGAGACATCGTCGACGGCAGGGTACAGCCATCCTTCTGTACCGTGCTAATTCTATGCACCACACTCATCCGCGCCAAAAGAACTCAAACATGGCGCCTGGAGCGGGTTCCCACCGTACTCACAGTGTAGCTTTTCCTCGCGACTGTTGAGCTTGTTCTCCTTGTTTTTCTTCAGGGGGCGAAATCGGGACAGGACGCGGGTGAATTGGCGAAAGTTGATGCGATCGTCGTAAGCGTCCATGAAGAACGCGTGGACGATCCGATCTCCCAAGGGGTTGATTGCCAGTTCCGGAATCCGTAGGAAATCTTCACGGCTATTGCAAAGTAAAGCGACAGAAAGTTAGCGTGATCAGCTTAACCGCGACGACTACTGTAAGTTGTAACCACGTATACCTCAGTGTACCGTTGTCAGTCTTGTCCAGGCTTGTGAATCGGCTGTACAACCGCTCGATCTGGTTGGCCGAGACTTGAAAAAAGAACGGAGGAACGCGGCTATGGTTACACATCAATCGCGCGTCGTAGCAAGGGTTTTACAAGCGTCAGATCGCCAAGGTCAAGGAGCGACGGCTAACCGCTGAGGCTATTCCTTACGCTGTAAACACCCGACAACAAGACGTCCCTGATTGTTTTGTTTAGCAAGGCGAAACCGAACGTGCTGAGGTAGCCAATACTCACAGCCAGTCTCCTGCTGAATCTCTTGGATTTCTTCTTCTTGTAACATGAGTGACGACCGGGTGCCCATAGTGAAAAGAGTGTGTCGGGTCGCTTGACGAAAGGATGGTACGGTAAATGCGACGGCTCGGAATTAAAGGGCCCGAACGCAGCCCGAAGTAGGTCGAGGTGGGCTACCCCGTCGTTGCGGATGGCGAGCGAGGTAGATGAGAGAGATACTTAGACATGCCACTCCCTCCTCAGTCAGCATATTTAGGTGCGCTGCACACGATATACACCAGGGTTTCTGTAACGCTAAAACTGTTTGCGATTCCTAATCTAAAATTTTTCCTTTGATGGTTTTAGATTAAAAAAAAATCATGATATATTAATTATTTTTAACAAAACTGTTTGATTTTGGTTAAAAATGAATCTGTAATCCGTCTTGCGCAATAAAGCAAGAAAAGAATAGGCACAAAAGACAGTAGGACAAGAACACGTCCATATCAGGGTTCATATCAATCAATCAGTCGTCCAATAAAAGGTTCTCCTACCTAGTTCCTGCATTATCAACACTAAACAACAAAAATGAAACTTAAAATAACCGATAAAAGTGAACGCAGGCATTCATTCAACGTTCACAAGTGACGCAAGTGGACTCAAGCATATATTATAATAACTCTATGGACTCAAGTGGGAGCTCGTCTGGCTTGTATCCGCCGCATCCGCAGATCCGCACTCCTCGTGTTGATCGCTTTACAACGTGAGCTTAGTCAAGGAGGTCGAGGAGGTTGCTAAATCTCCTTGGGTTTTGTGGTTTAGTCAGTTTAGTGAAGTGGAGTGGAGAAGCGACAATAAGTACAGCGGACGAACGTGCTGAGAAACCAATTAAATAAACCAACTAAACATGTTTTATCGCACTACCAGCTAAAGCAGCAGCAGTACAGCAGCGCAAGGGTGGATATCACGATATCACTTGCACAGGTTGCACAATCAACCGTATTTCTGTAAAACGCTTACGTAATCAAATCACGTAACCTTGAACGCTGAAGCCGGCGGGGTGGAAAACTGGAAACGAAACTAGCGATCGCACTGACGACTGGTGGCGCCAGTGCAATTTTCCATCGGTTCTCTTCATGGTTTTCAGGTTTTCATTTCTGGTTTCGTCGGATTAGCGTGCATGTGGTGAGGATGGCGGCTCTGCTGTGTTCGTCTTGCAAGCCCCTGGTAAGTGGTTGCCCATTTTGCTTCGTCGACGCCACTCGACGCGTCTTCGTGCACTCGTTGTCTACGGGCTGCAGGCCTTTCTGTGGCATAGAGCTCTTGCGAGCGCAAATGAGCTCCTCCGGGCCCTTACTTGCCACCTGCTTTAAAAAATCCGGCTACCCGCGTAGATCAGTAAAAAGTTGCTCGACGGCTCAGCGAAGCCGTGCCAGAAAATACGCTTCGTTGATACTGAGATAAGAGAAGTGCATGGCTCGACAGCATCACCTGATGACGTTGGCGGAGTGGGCGTGCTTTAAATGGTGCATGACAAGATCATGCCACTTGCAACTTGCAAGTCACCGGCTTTGTCACTTCGGCAAGTCGCAGAGGCGCCGTCATTGATTCTAATTGGGCGGAGTGCTTGTAATTTCTCATTCTATACACTTTAAATTTGCTTTCAGGCCGTTGGCCGGTTCCTGACACGTGGATATGCGGCCGCAGTGGTGAGTATTTGTCGTGTTTGCAGGCCGTACAATTATGAATAAAATTTCGTAATTAGTCGACTATTTGGATTTCACCGTTATATATTTTGAATATTTTTGCCGGAAAAAGGAAGGCGGGGTCGAAATAAATTAAGACATACCATAAGTGTGTGAAAAACTTGTGCGCATTAAAGAAAAAAAAAATTAATATGAGAAGTGTAAAGTTGAAACCGTAATTGTTATTGTTATGTTGCGAGGTGAGAAAAGCTGAGCCTCAACAATAAACTGTCGCCAAAATTGCTTAGACTTTGCCCACATGTAGCCGTTGGCATAAGTGGGCAAAGTTTAGAACCTAAAGTTGCCAGATAAAAAACGTTTTAAGTGAATACTTGACTCAGCGGCTCGGCCGACACAAGTCCAACAGTAGAATCAGACTGAAGACGTCTGCTTTCCATTGCTTCTGTCGGATAGTGCCACAAATGGTGCGCATTCTCACAGATAAGAGTCGAGCCAGCAGGTGGCCAACATCATATGCCGCTGGAACTGAAGCGCTGAATATGATTTCTTCAGTGCTTCGGCCAGAGGCTACTGTAACTGAGTACGTCGATTTGAGGGAATAAAAACAATGATGTACAAGGATGTGTGTCCTCATCATTCATAAGTTTTTATTCTTTCAAATTGATGTGATTCACGCTTGCATAGATTCACTATCTGAAAGATAAAATAAAAAGCTGATATGTGCTCAGCCTGTTTCTGTTGAAAAACGGCATTCCTTTCATAGACAGATTCGGCTTTTCTGCTCTTAAGTGTTAACTTTGATAACAGTAAGTTCCGAAACTTTAGCACCTTGCCTCCCACCGTTAGTGGCAATAGGGAGGAGTCAAAGCTTTCAGCAGTTGTCATTTAACTTTGGGGTGAAAAAAAAAAAAAGTGATCCACTTTTGTCGGCTGGCACCTTCCGGTTCTGGAAGAACTGTCTGGCTGAAATCGAAAATTAAGGCTGAGTCTGATTTCACTTCTCTGTTCTTGTGTTCTTTTCTTTGCAGCCAAACACAAAAATGTTCATCAATGGGCAGTTTGTCGAATCCAAGACCACGGAATGGGTGGATCTCAAAAACCCGGTGGGTAACTTAAAAAAACAAAAAAACATTGGCTGCATCTTTGGTATATACCAAAGTCGTTCTAAATGCATAGCATTTATAGGTTCCTTGTGACACTGTAGTGTCGCCTGATGTCATGGTGTCATGATATCATAGTGTCACATGATATCATAGTGTCACATGATATCATAGTGTCACATGACCCAAGAGTTTCTTTTCTTAGGACTGGTCACCGTTCCAGCACCACAGTCAGACACCAACTGTTGGAACATTGCGATGCATGTCACCAGCATGACATCACCATCAAGGCCACATCCCAGGCCCGGACATGAAAACCCAATGAATGCTATGCATCTAACAAACAAACGTGTGAAGCCAGATGCGGGTCCTCTAGTCGTCCAGCTGAAATATGGGCTCTCATTGCCTCCCTGTTGCTTCCTCAGGCCACCAATGAGCTGATCACCCGTGTTCCCAAGTGCACAAACGCTGAAATGCATGAGGCCGTTCGTTCGGCCAAGGAGGCCTTCCGTACCTGGTCTCAGACGTCCATCCTCACCCGCCAACAGTCTATGTTCAAGCTGCAACAGCTCATCAAAGAAAACATGGCAAGGCATCTTTCCACACATTGTTTTCAAAGAGCATATAAGGGTGGTCGTCCTTCCACGTATTGTCTTTAAAAAAAGAATGTGTGTAGAGTGGTCATCCTTATGGCACATTGTTTGTAAAGAGTATTTAGGGTTATTGGATGACCTACCTGAGTTGAGAAAACTAGCTTTCACGAGGGATATTATCAGATGTTTTTGGGCTGGCAGACCCTGACTGACGAAGGCTGTGCCAGGCCTGAAACGTTTCGCTGGACTACCTTTGCCACTGCCTCAGTCTCTTCAGCAACCGGGCAGTACTGTTTCATTAGAGTAATCAGATATATAGGGTGTTTGTAATGCCAAGGCTTTATCTAAAACGGGCCGTAAAAATCGGCGCCTGCACGTAGCATTCCAGCCTTTTCGTCAAAGGCATATTTCACTAATGGGTTTCATTTTGTAAAATTACGAGGTGTAATTTTCATGCCCTTTCTGTAAAAAATAGGCCAAGAAACTTGCCTGTGTCAATGTCGGACGGCGATGCGGTAGAGTCCGTCCGTCGTCTGCTCCGTCGACGTAGACGATGGAGCAGAAATACTCTCAAAAGTATTTGGAAATACAAATCCTGGAATACATGTCAAAAGCAGCTAAAATACTAAAATGCATTCATAAAAATGTACCACAACACATATCAGGATTGACTTTAAACGAAAGAAATGCAAAGGGGATGAAACAAGTTCATTCTGTCCTCTTGTGTGTTTCTTTAGTTTTAAGTCAATTTAGATCACCAACATGCTCAAGTTAATTTTACATATCAGAAATACATTAAAAAATAGAAAAGTATTTGGAAGTACAAATACAGGAATACATTTTGGTGGGGCTGAAATACAGACACTGAAATACCTTGTTATAAAGACGTTATTTTTCATGTTTTGGTGCACACCTTAGAGCATACAAAGAACTGAAAAAAGCATACCCTAGAATATAAGGTTTTGTTTTTAAACCAGCAAGTGAGTTCTCACCGCATGTTGGAGCCTGAATTAAGCTAGAATCCAATTTACTGCAGAATTAATGTCTTGTTATTTTGGGAAGTAGTAAAGAAAGCAAGTGATTCTTTGACCGTGGCTCGAGCACGGTTTATTTTGGCAGCTCTCATCTTTCAGGGTCAATATCCCAGGGACAAATATATCAGTAGAGTCGATTGCTGGGCTAGTTGGTCTGTTTCTCGCCTCTTTGTCCCTGTTTTTTGAGCGCTAAAATGTATTCCAAATTACAAATATATCAATTTTGTGTCCTCCCAGATAATCTTGAGAATTCACTCTAATTATGTCCAATCCAGACAACTCTTTCAGCAGTGACCTTGTAACGTCACCATGGTATGGGGTTCCAGAAACCCGTATCCTTTTATCTATTAGTTGCGCCGACAGAGCCTTCCACTTCTGGAATCGCCTATCATAGAATACCGGGCAAGCACCCAATCAAAATTTGGAGATAATCGGAAAAAAAAAAAGGGGGGGGAGGATGGGCACTTGTCCAGTCATCAGTTTTACAAATCAATGTACTGTGTACATTTTTCAGATCTTACAAATTCGGGAATGGGTGCTCAGTGTGGAATGGGCGGATGCGCGGTATTCTACAGTAGAACAGTTGACCACCTAAAGTGTGGGAAAACATTTAAGTTATGCCCAATAAAGAAGGGAATCATGTGCAGCCAGAGACACAAAACGTCCCTGATGAAACTTGGTCTTGATCCTCTGTGTGGAGGTCGACAATTATTTTAGAATTGTATTAAAATACATCGGCCCTAATTGTATCGCAATGCGTTTCGAAACATAAATACAAAATACAGTTGAAACATTGTATCACGATACAGAAATATAAATACATAATGTATTTCTGAAATACTATCGTGATACATTTGCATCGCGATACTGCCCAACCGTGGTTCAAGCACCCACTAATAACATGTTCCAAACTTCGGAATTCTGCAAATTATACTTAAGCGCTCGATTTAGCGGGACAAGTGTCCATTTCTAGATTAATCATTTTCAGTTTTTTACGGTAATCTTTCTGTAATGTACCTTGTGGGAGTGTTTAAACACCGTTCGCGGAACAATAAGACCCGGGGCTCACTGAGAGCCAGTGTTCCAACACCCACCCCGCAGCGTACTCACGTTCAACCGCCGCGGCGGGTTCGTTCGTTTGCTGCACAGCGTAGCTCTAATAGAAGAGACAAACGTACCACACAGTGTGCCGGGTGACCAAACAGTTTAATCACCGCAAGAAGCTATACAGGGCGTAAACAACGCGACACACTGAGAACCGGTGACGAGAATCGACTCACCGCTCGATGCCTTCCCGAGAGCCGACGGGCGCCAACGTACTGGAGACGGGTCCGACGCACAACCACTCGCTCCCGTCGCCACCCGGAGATTCTTTCTCCTCGGCATTCGATCCCCCCTCGTCTACGCCTCCCTAGCGCACCCTCGACCACAGGGGTCCCAGGATTTGGGGACAATCGCGTCCCCTTTCGGAGGGGGTGACGAGGGTACAGCTTCTAAGATGGCGCTGTCCCCCTTGCCACCGACGGGTGCGTGCGGCTGAACAAATGAATCCAGCGGCTCGCTCCGCGGCCGCTTTAGGGCCTCTCGAGGAAAGGAAATGACCGCATTTCCACATCCTCCCCCCCTTAAAATGCGCGGTCGGTCAAAAAAAGTAGACCTGGCTCTGGCTCTTCCCCCCAAAACGACAAAACTAAAACAAACAGTGCTACCGAGGTGCACAGGCACTCGCAGCAGCATCACAGCAGCATCTCGACGTCGAAGGTGAACGATGGGGCCCCCGGGTTTAAAGGTCCCACCGCTGGCCCGGGCTCGTCCGCCGGCGCAGGCGACACCGCTGCCGGTGGCACTGCCGCTGCTGCCGCCGCACCCGGGAGGTCCGCTGCTGCCCCCGGACATGACGCTGGACTCGCTGCCCCTTCGTCGGGATGGTCGGGGTCGGCCAGAACACCGGCCAGCACCGCGTCCCGGAATGCTGGATCGCGCTGGAAGCTCTCCAGCACCCAGGCCACGGCCTCAGGTCGCTCGAGAAAGGCAACGTCCCCAACGTGGCCGCCGCCGCCGTCTCCGCCGACTCGGCCCCGGTGGAAGAGGGAAGCTCGGTGCTGGGCCTCCGTCGTAGAGGTGACCACGAGGCCGCCGCAGTCGGAGCAGTAGGTTGCCCCGTCCGCCGGGGTCAGGCATGCCCCGGCGGCCATTCTCTCCGCGTCCTCGGTGGTCTGGCCGCGGAACAGAGATGGAATATGCTCCGATGACTGGCCCCGCTCGGGTCTCCGCTGCAGCTTCCATCGGGCCCAGCTGACGAAAACCCGCGGTGCCTCCGAGCCGACCTGCGACGTTCACGTGGCGACCGCTCTGGACGACGCACCCCGGGGCCCTGACTCTTTTCGCCGCGAAGACCCGCGGCCGCCGGTAGGACCAGGTTGACGGTCCCTCGCTCCCGCGCCGGCGGCTGGTTTCCGGGAGGGCGCCCCAGGTCCGCGAGGAGCCGGGGCAGGACGACGGCCGGATCGGCGCTGGCGATGATTCCGCTGAGGGCTCATGGTGACGGTCTCGACCTCTCGTAGAAAAAGCCGGGGAATGCAAGTCGGTTCCTCCCGGGTGGCGAAGTTATAGGCATCAGTCACCTCTTTGGGTGGTCGACGGGGAGGACGACGGTCCAAGAGGTCCCCAGGCCGGAGGCAGGGTGGCAGCCGAAAGTTGCTGAAGCAGGGACGTGCCGCCCGAGTAGGTCTTCCAAGCGCCGGCTGGCCCACCCGCATCCGTGCCCGGAGGGCCCGGCATGGAGGAACACAAAGGGCTCTCTCCGGCTGCCGCTTACCCGACAACAACACCCCCCAGACGACTTTGGGGATGAGCGAGCCTAATGGCAGGCATAAGCTGCCAATGGGAGATTCATAGGCGCCGAATAGACCACAGAGTCCCTTCGCCGGCCGCCCTCTCCAAGGTACTTAGGAAGGGGCTCGTCGACCCGCTTCGTCGGCGGCGCACAGGCGCACCCAATTGGGGAGGCATGCATGGAACCAAGCGTGCCCTCTCCAGACTGTTGGCACCCGATAGACCATAGAAAGGCCATTCGGCGGCCGCGCGCGGCGAGGTCCCTGAGAACGGGTTCGTTGACCTGCTTCCCCGGAGGCGCACAAGTGCACCAAATGGGGAAACATCGGACCAAGCTCGCCCCGCCCAGTGAGCGAGAGATGCGCGGAGTCGAAAAGAAAAGGTCGACTCCCAGGTGGCCGCGCGCTGTGTGGAAAGACAAGTTTGAAAAAAATCGTTTTCGATCTTGCCTTGCTTCTAAGCAAACGTGCTTGGCTTTTGCCATTGTCGGCGGCGGCTTTGACGACACTAATGTCGCCGGTGCCGCAGCTCGTATCGAGGCGCGGGCGAACTGCCGCCCACGTCGCGTGGCGGCCGGGGTGCCTGCGGGCTCAGGATGCCCGGCTCCCCAGCCGCGCCGCCTTCCCTCATGACATAGGATTTGAGGTCACAGACGTTCACCGGCCCGCCAACGGGTCTTGATTGCAAGTCCGCTAGCTTATACACGAGCGGAGAAATAGTTTTGCGTACTCGGTATGGCCCAGACCACTTCGGTGCCAGCGAAGCAGAAAAGCCTTTGCTGGCGTCGCTCAGAACGTGTTGACGCCTGAGAACCAGATCACCCACTTTGTAGCGGATGTCCCGGTAGGTCTTGTCGTACTGAGCCTTCTGGCTGGCTCGTGCTACACCAAGATTTTGGCGGGCCTTAGAGAAAGCCTCCTTCATCCTGTCGCGTAGCCCCCGAGCATAATCAGCACAGGCTGATGGCTCGGCGTTTTCTTCGCCGCTACTCCGTAGAACATTGTCCATAGGGTTCAACAGTTCTCTCCCGAAAGTGAGATAGGCCGGCGAAAAACCGGTGGACCGATTCACAGTAGACCGCAGAGCGAACCCAATTTCGGGGATCGATGAGTCCCAGTCTTTGTGACTCTGGCAAAATGCTGCCAGCATCGGTTTGATGTTCCGGTTGCAGCGTTCAGTTACATTCGATTGCGGATGGTACGTGGTCGTTTTCCTGTGTTTGATTCCGAGAGCAGCACATGTCTCCCTGAACACCTTCGCACAGAAACATGACGCGTTGTCGCTGATAAGCGCCTTCGGATAGCCGAAGCGCGAGAACACTTCTCTCAGCTTTTCGAGGATCACCCTTGCCGACAGCTTGCAGAGCGGAAATAGTTCGACCCACTTAGTGAAATGATCCGTGATGACCAGTAAGTACTGGTGCCCTCTCGGGCTTCGTGGGTATGGACCCATGACGTCACACGCCGCGAGCTGCCAAGAGTGCTGGCTGTCGATCGGCTGCAGAAGCCCGGGTCGTTTTCCACCTCGCGGCTTCACGCTTTGGCAACTGTGACACGAACGGGCGTACCGAAGTACGTCGCGCTTCATTCCTTGCCAGGTAGCGAAGTGACATAACTTATAGTAAGTCTTGGAGCCACTTGCATGTCCGGCCAGTCGCGAGTCGTGAAAGTAGCGCATTAGAGCGCCTCTCAGACAGCGAGGCACCACCACCTTGAACGGCGCACAGGTTTCGTTCTCAGATGGGATGTACCGCAGCAGGAGTCCGTCAGCCTCGAGCAGATACGAATCCCAGGCCTCATCTGCAATACCAGCAGCATTCGGAGGCGCGGCGCCGATAGTTGTACGGTCTATCGAGCACCCGACTGCATTACCGTCCGGACCGGCAGCGTCCGACTCTTTGTGGGAGTGTTTAAACACCGGCTCGTGGAACAATAAGACCCGGGGCTCACTGAGAGCCCGTGTTCCAACACCCACCCCGCAGCGTACTCACGTTCAACCGCCGCGGCGGGTTCGTTCGTTTGCTGCACAGCGTAGCTTTAATAGAAGAGACAAACGTACCACACAGTGTGCCGGGTGACCAAACAGTTTAATCACCGCAAGAAGCTACACAGGGCGTAAACAACGCGACACACTGAGCACCGGTGACGAGAATCGACTCGCCGCTCGATGCCTTCCCGAGAGCCGACGGGCGCCAACGTACTGGAGACGGGTCCGACGCACAACCACTCGCTCCCGTCGCCACCCGGAGAGTCTTTCTGCTCGGCATCCGACCCCCCCTCGTCTACGCCTCCCTAGCGCACCCTCGACCACAGGGGTCCCAGGATTTGGGGACAATCGCGTCCCCTTTCGGAGGGGGTGACGAGGGTACAGCTTCTAAGATGGCGCTGTCCCCCTCGCCACCGACGGATGCGTGCGGCTGAACAAATGAATCCAGCGGCTCGCTCCGCGGCCGCTTTAGGGCCTCTCGAGGAAAGGAAATGACCGCATTTCCACAACCTTCGGTTTAAAAATAAAAGCTGACAATGATAATAAATCTTTAAATAAAAAAAAAATAAAGAAAACGCAGTTGCATATTGACCGCGTTCTTGCAGCCGATGCGTGTCGTCTCCTTTTGCTGGTCGGCTATATATCCGACGCTGCTCCCGACGCCATCTATCAATACGTGCGCCAAACGTGCCCTGCCACTTGAGTTCGTCGTCTGCATCACCATCCGCCGTTGATCCCGGCAAGTTTCTTGGCGCTGTCTTTTTACAGAAAGTGCACGAAAATTGCACCTTGGAAATTTACAAAATAAAACTGGCCTGTAAAATACACCTTTGACACAAAGATTAAATTGCTGCGCGTGCAGCTAATGACTATAGGGCTTCATAGCCTCATTCGGCCTTGGGAAAAGAGAAGTGACAACCTGCATTTAGCGCCTCTAAACGAAAAACTGGCTCCCCTTTTATGCTTCATAAATTGCGAAGGGGTTACATCACGTCCGCAAAATAATTTAGTCTGCTTGCCGCGAGGAGTGACAGACCATTTTCGTCCGTCCAGAAAAGACTGGCGGCCAACGTGACGGAGGAGCAGGGCAAGACGCTCGCCGACGCAGAAGGGGACGTTCTGCGTGGACTGCGTGAGTGAATGTTTGTGCAGTGCCTGCGTTTCATAGGCTGTGCTTTCCTTTGAGCTGAGACTGCAGACAAAGTTGCAGGCGAGGGCTAGCCCGCGCTCCCTGCTATGAGACGTGCCTTTCTAGGGCAAGCGCTCAACCCACATATTAAACCTGCAATCTTGTGCTCTTGTGGTTCTACCGTTGGCTTTTCAAGCTACCCAAACTAACAACAATTTTCGAAATATGAGAGCTTTATTCTTCTGGACATGCTATCTATTATCTCTAAATTCGGGACAGATAATGGCAAATGAAGTGGATGCAAAAACAAGCACTCAAATTGCCCCGTGCCTCGCAGCGGGGCGATGTCGCACGTTGTAAAACAGATTGAGCAGGCGTTCTAATGAGCACTTTATGTGGCACATTTTTCCCAATTTGTTCGAGTGAGCTTCCTCGGCGTTCGTTTCACAAAATCAGCTTCGTAACCTGTTGAAAACAGGCAGTGCTTCCCAAATATCGGTCAAATCACATGTCATCACATTCCAGTGTTGTCAATAAAACCTGTTTAAAAAGGCTCGAGGTACACCTAAGCGCTTTTTATGAGTTGTGAACGTGAAAGCATGCACATCATTCTTCCGCTCCCTTATTTCGTCTGCAGCATGTTTCCGTCGACGGCAGAGCGTGCCCTCTCGGCGCTCTAACCTTGGATATTTCGTGTTATCGGCGTGCTGATGGACATGCAGCACCATGGAGTGGCGGTCGTTGAAACAGACGCGCAGCGGCCAATGCGAGCCTCGTCGATGCGCGCCAGCCAATGGGACTGAAGTCAAAATCCATCAGCTCTACTTCGCTCTTTTGGGATCAGGAAAACTAGGTGCCATTTGGCTAAGCTTTTCGCGTGATTTCATAGCTGGGAGCTGGCTTCACTTGGAGAAAGGATTTATGGTGCCGTTTGGCACAACTTAAAAGCTGATGACGTCGGTTCGCTCCAAGGGGCAGTTAATGCTTTTGCATTAAAAAAAAAAAGTGTGAAATAAATTTTCAAAAATTCAATGGCTTTGTTAGAAAAATAAAATAGGACCTGTAATTTTGGTTAATTGTTTGGATGCCTCTATCGACGTGTTGAACCGATTTTGAGGCAAATCGGTGGCTACTAGCATTTCTGGTGAATGGATCAGAGTCGGGGAAAGCAAGCGGTGCACACTTTTGCAGAGGTGGTGGAGCATGCCTGCGGAGTAACGTCGCTGCAGCTCGGCGAGACGCTGCCATCCATCACCAAGGATATGGACACCATGTCATACCGCATTCCGCTCGGAGTCACCGCGGGCATCACCCCTTTCAACTTCCCAGCCATGATCCCACTCTGGGTGAGTTTTGCCCACTGCCATTCCGAACGAAAATAATGTAGTTTTGTTATTGGCTAACTTTAGGAAGCAACGGTCCTTGGTCCTTGGTCAGTGACAGGTTATTGAGTGCATGCCACCATCATGCACTCATCACTGCGCAGAAAGCTTGCGTTCAAGGCGGAGCAGGAACTACGTTCTCAACTTTCCGCTGGCTATAGCATGTTGCCGTGTGCATTAAGTCAGTGAGCTGCACCTCTGACTGAAACGAAGGGTTGTGCTCGGAACTTCCCAATGGGTCTGCTCCCAGATGTTCCCGCTGGCCCTGGTCTGCGGGAACACCATGGTCCTCAAGCCTTCGGAACGTGATCCGGGCTGCACAATGATGTTGATGGAGCTGCTCAAGCAGACCGGGGTTCCCGACGGAGTGGTGAACGTCATCCATGGCACGCACGACGGTCGGTGCTCTTGCTTTCTCTAAAATCACCGCTGGATGTTTGCGAGAGACCCGCAAACACTTGGGAACAGCTAGATCACTGGTGGCACCTGTCGTGTGGTGCTGCCACCAGTGAGCTTTGAGAAGTACTTTGGTACCAAACGTAGTTACGGTACAAGCACATGCTGGCTGTTGTTCTCTGCTACCAGAGAACGTCCTACGGCAATCGCTCTGTTCTGTCATGCTCGGCAAGGTTATGATGCAGTCGAGCGAGGTCACAATTGAAGAAAACCGTTGCACTCTCTGTTTGACCCGACCTCTATTCAACCTCAGCCCTTTGGAGTTAGTCTCTCTTGTAGCCCTTTTGCCGATGCAGAGAGATACCTCAGTTGTCAACTGTTTTCATTCTTGCAGCTGTCAAGTTCATCTGCGACCATCCTGACATCAGGGCCATCTCTTTTGTGGGCTCTGATCAAGCGGTACATTATTTATTATTATTATTACTAAGTGGCTAGTGTTTTTTACAGCTCTTTATTTGGGCAAACTAAATTTAAGGCACTGCTGTCACGTTGCAAAGCAACATGTGCAATTCAATTGCCACTATATAACTAATGAATTTGTGCGTGCTAAACTCAAATCTTGAAAGTAAAAAAAAAAAAAAAAAAAAAAAAAATCAAGAGGTGTGTTGCTAACTCTGATTCAAGCATATTGGTTTTTAGAAGAGGTCCAGTCAGTGCTGGTCTTGGACCCAACTTTCTTAGGCACCGGTTAGACAATAAGCTCTTATTTCAGGTTATTGCTCTTCCAGCAATAGGCTTCAAGGGCGTGTTATCTCGAAGGCACTCTGCTAGTAGATAACAAATTCAAACCACAACAAGAAAAAAAAAAAAAAAAAAAAAAAAACAGTAAGCTAAATTTAGATAGATTCCTCAGAACATTTGACAGAAATCTATTTTTGTCAAATATTTGGCATCCCCACCCCTGCCCGTTTCGATCTGGATGAGCATCGTACCGGTATGTGGTCGTGTGTCACTGCTGCGTGATGCACGTTAAAGACCCCAGGCTAGCAGTTGTACTGCACTGGCTAAATTTCTCATCTACAGCTGAGAGACTCGTCGCCCATTGAGGCAGACGAAGTTCTAGGCTGTATAAACATACACACCACCCAATTTTTTTTTTTTAAATATTTGACAGGGTTATGAATGAAAGGGTTAGGTCAAACTTTTAAAAGGAGTTCTGGGAAGCAGTTCTTCTGTAGAAATCTCAGTCAAACATTATCCAACTGTCGCCGCATTTTCTCACAGGGCAAGTTCATCTACGAGCGTGGCTCCAAGAATGGAAAGAGGGTTCAGTGCAACATGGTAAGGATCCTCTCTCATTTGACAAGAACACTGCACGATGAGAGCACAGAATGAGAACATGGCATTGGATACATTGGAATACGGCATTGTAATACGTCAGAGCACTACATATGTTGTGAGAGCATGTCATCCGTAAGAAATTGCAGGGGTGGAACGGCTGCGCCATTGGCGCCATTTTGCGCCAGACGCATGTGTCTGCGCCATCGTGCGCCATGTTGCTGAAACTGCGCCAGAGCCAATACCTCACGCCATTATGCGCCAGATTACAAAACGTGCGCCAAAATCTCTTTATTTTGACTTGGTTTCGGTTTTATTGACTCGATTGGCAAGAAATGAGCGTAGTTAGCCTGGTCGGCTTTACAATCCTTTCTTTTGTCTATTCCCTCTGTGTATCCCGAGTCGGAAGCGCGCGAAAAAACTCTGATTATAAGCGCTACACCACCTGCGACTGGATTGTTATTCTTCAACCGTAAGCAGTTAAGCAAGTCGGCTGAGGTGAGGTCGAGTCGTTAACCGTGAGATTGCCTGAGGTTCTGCGGCCCGGGATCCGGGACCTTGACGTCAGCTAGTTGAAAAAAATGAGCAAATTATTCCTTTTAGTACCTACTTCACTGTTAGAAGTTAGAACCGCATTCTCGCAAGATAAATCATGATTTGATAGAACTGAAACGCGGTCCGATCCGAAACCTTGTCGGTCAGCAGCTCTTACGCGAGTGGTATATCTACTCGGCGTACATTAACCTTGCTCCTGCTTATCACTTCAAATACAATAACTTCGTTAATCGTAGTCTGCTGCTTCGATATCGAGTTGTACAACTTGAAATTTGTTGCTCTGTTCCTCCGTGCAACTGCACGTCCGTTGCTTACGCACGTAACGCGGTTCGCATATATGATCACTATGTCGAGCGCGTGTGGGTTGTGCGATAAGCAGTGCTGATTTGCACTTTTAGCAGCTGAAAGCCACTCAGATAATATCAAGGGCGCTATCTCTAGAAACATAGGATACTTGCTTTTTGATTCTCATTAAGGCTCACAGTTTCAAGTTTTCGCATCTGTTACACTGTTATCCCATCCTACCTAGGTCCCAAACCACTCATGTTCATCTGTGCTGCTAAGCACGATTGAAATTGCTCCCGTGCGTGTCTAAGACACAAGCTGAAGTGCAATGAAAACTGATCTGACCTGCTCCTAGCCTGCTCCAGAACGTAGCTTTTAGCTGCTCCCAACCTGCTCCAAAACAGCTGTTTCAGCTGCTCCCGTGGCTGCTCCCAAGTACATGTTATGAGTTCCACCCCTGAATTGTAAAATAGTGCATTATGAGAACGCGTCTGGAGAGCAGGTCGGGAGAGTGCGACATAAGAGCACCCTTCGAACTCATTCACAAACCCTCCTTGGCTGTGTTCCAAAACGTACTGGAGTAGTTCCGAATTAATCTCACTGGTCGCATCCTGCGATAACATGAAGAGCGATGCCGGACAGGATTAGGTTTCCAATTGCGAAGGTACAAAACTTTCGAAGCAATATCTAGCAAATTTTAGATCACGGCCCTTCCATCGCTTCCTCCCCCCACCTCCCACCTCCCACAACTGTCAGGGAGCCAAGAACCACGGGGTGGTGATGCCGGACGCCAACAAGGAGTACACCCTGAACCAGCTGACGGGCGCCGCGTTTGGCGCCGCGGGCCAGCGATGCATGGCACTCTCGACGGCAGTCTTCGTGGGCGAGGCCAAGAACTGGATCCCCGAGCTGGTGGAGAGGGCCCGGAAGCTGAAGGTGAACGCTGGCCATGAGCCGGGGGCCGATTTGGGGCCGGTCATTTCGCCCGAGGCCAAGGAGCGCATCTGCGACCTTGTCGAGAGCGGGGTCAAGGAGGGGGCCAAGCTGCTGCTTGACGGCAGGGGCATCGTGGTGCCCGGTTACGAGAAGGGAAACTTCGTCGGCCCCACCGTCCTGGCGGACGTCACGGTGAGCCCTTAGAGTCACAACGCTTGCAGTGCTGCCGATGGTTTTACGGCGGCACGAGCGGCCTTGGGGGTTCGGAGTGGTGTACAGTGTAGCTGAGTGAAGAAGGTGTGAAAGTGCAGATGGAGATGGTGTAGTTTCAATATAGTGGTGAAACGCATCGTCAGAAAAAAAGTCAAGATGGTGGTCACATGATGTAATCGGCACGTCAAGGTGTCACGTTGCGGTGTAACGTGACATCATGATGGTACACAACACCGCAATTAATCTGTACTTAATGTGATCACGTGACACCTATAGTGGTCATGTGAGGACATGACTAACTCCAACGGTCACAGAACCAATAGCGATCACGTGATCACACGACCTGTAGCAATTGCCTGACATCACGTGACCGCTCCCGACATTAGGGTGACAAATCTATTTGCAGGATCGCAAAATATTGAAACTGGCAAGGAAAGAACAGACCATACGTGCGAGAACTTTGCGTGTTACACGTGTTTCTTCCCTGCAGTCTGGAGGTTTTCGCTGTCATTTAGTCAAATACTTTACGGAGCAGAATACTGGGCTTTGCGCACGAATACAAAGATCCTGGAGGCGACACAGTCTCTCTGCAGATACCACGCCGAGATGGCGTTAGTGAATGCCGTAATAATTCAAAGCTTTTGCATTTGAGAAATATGTAGAGTATTGTTTTACTTCCTCTCATACCAAATACAAGGGTAGGAACTGCATATTATGGTCGCTGATCAGGTGAGAAGGGCAGGGCGTCTTTCGAATGCCCAGCTTCCAGCATGTGCTCGTTGACTTTCGCCGCGCTTTGGTTGAACGTGCATGCTCAAGGCTAGTGAGACGCATTGTCGAAGGTGGGAATTCTCGCACTGGAGGCGGGACAACAGAGTCCTCCCCACCGGTCTCATCCTGTTGGCGACTGTAGTAGAATAATCTGCTAGGCGTGGAGGCATTGCGAAGTGCGCGTCATCAAGGATCCCGTCGAGTGCCATCGCCCCTTCGTTGCATTTGACAGTGTGTCTGTTTGCGTCTCGCACAGCCCCAGATGCGCTGCTACCAGGAGGAGATCTTCGGGCCAGTCTTACTCACGCTGTCGGTGGACAGCATGGACGACGCCATTGCGCTCATCAACAGCAACCCGTACGGAAACGGCACCGCCATCTTCACCACCAACGGCGCCACAGCCCGCAAGTACACCCAGGAGATCGACGTGGGACAGGTACGAGACGGGGCCGCGTGTCGAGCGCTTTTCAAAAAGGGATGCCAAGAAATTTCTAAAGAACAGTTCGTTTGGAAATGGCCATCTTAAAATCTACGGCTATAGCTACCTTTCTTCCAATCTGCAGGGTTTCTAATTCTAAGGATCAACAATACTGTACAATATTTATTTCTTGTGCCTTTGCCTATATGGTTAAGTCTCGGTGGTACAGAGCAATCCACTTAAACCAATGAGAAAAACCGAAAATTCAATTGGTATAACCGGTTATTGTTGCATCTGGACTAGAAACTAAGCGTTTCTAATCTAGAAACTGATCGTCGACCTGGGAAAGGGAGGGGTAATGGAGCATAGACAGCCGTCCTTCCCAGTCAACAATGTTCGCTTAACACCATTTCTGGCAATGTCACCTTTGGCCAGGGCCCCTTAGTTACTCTGAGCGGGCTGTCTATTGGCGTGTTTGAAAAAAATATCAAATTGTGCCAAAAAATATGGGTGGGTTGTCTTTCGGGGGTAGAATAGTATGGTATACTTGGAAACAACTCGCACCCCAAGGGCCGATCACTTCAAAAAATTATCCCAGAGCTGTCTCGCTATCCACCCGCCCGAAGCTTTCTTTTCGCCAAACAACAAACACTTGCATGGTCGCGTATCGCGATAGATATTTCCAGGTGCACAAACAAAGCCCTTCACTCACTTACGGGTCATGCAGGTCGGTGTAAACGTTCCCATTCCTGTTCCACTGCCGATGTTCTCCTTCACCGGATCCAGAGGGTCCTTCCTGGGAGATGCCAACTTCTATGGCAAGGCGGTACGTGCAACGGTTCTTGTAGACCAGCGACTCTGAAGGCTGGTCGAAGCATTTATGTTTGAGAGTGTGATAGGCCGCGTTAAAACCTCTTACGACTGCTTACGGGGGAAACATACTGGCACCCTGGTACCATCTATCAGTGTTCCCAGAGCCCGGAAACAAAAAAGCATGCATGTACATATGGCAGGACAAATAGCGAAAGGTCTCCTTGAGCACACAATGTGCCAAAAAGTGTCTTACTGTATTCCACGGGGCAACATGTGCTTCTAGAACAACCTTTCATTAGATACAGTCCATTTCAGTGCATGCATAAGGCCGACAGAAACCGTCGAAAAGATGAAGCAGTGTTGTGCGGTGGTTAGCATACTCGAGTGGCGATCACGAGTTTGAATTTCGGCACTGCCAGATTTGTTTTCAGCTGCTTCCTAACAATTTTTAAGGCAAAAGCCTCGTCTCGTTGTTCAGTTGACGTTCAAAGTCCTTGAGTTAAAACACGGCGACACGAAAGACGCAAAAACGTGTCGGCGACATGAAAGGTACCAAAATCCACGGTTGGCCACTGGTTCACGAGATGGTGTCACTTGTGACGGAATTGGCAGAGGCGCGCATTGGGCTCTGCCGATTCCCAGCGGTAGAGGACAGTCTCGCTCGGGCAGTGGTGAACAGCGGGAGTGCTGCATGCCGCGAGATTAACGGCGCCAAAAGTGCATCGTCAGAGAGCACGTTGACTTCAGAGGTTTGCCATCACCGGGATCGGCGCTTAGGCCTTCGCCTTCAAGTCGTCTTAGGGATGACATAAGAGACCCTTTGAATTTTCCGTTCAGTTGGTACGGTTCATTCGTCTGCAACTTTTTACAATTTCCTCTTTAGAGACTACGTAAGATGATAAAAACGACCTGCAAAATGGAAGGATACAAGCAGATTGCAACATGCTTGGTCGCACTTGAACGCAAATGTGACAACCAGCCTCAAATATAGGTTAAAATCTGGCACTTGGTTACTCTTTGCTCAGTGAAAATATCTGCGTTCTCCCTTAATTTTTTAAGGTGTCACATTCCTCTTTGCAGGGTGTCAACTTCTACACCCAACTGAAGACTGTCACGCAGCTCTGGAGGACGCAAGACTCTACCCATTCCAAGGCCGCCACTGCAATGCCTGTCATGCGCTGAATCTCGTACATACTCTAGTTGCTCACGAGCCAAGCAAGGGGACACACGATGGATTGACTTCGAACTTAAATTTTTGGTAAAATAAAGACGAATCATTTAGTGTTCACCGAGACTGTTCTTTTAAGTGGGGAGCATTTGTATGGGAATGTATAGTTGTGAGCAATATTTGAGAATGCAGTACAACAAAAACAGTGGTAGGGCCTGCTCCATGCTGCGGGAAACTGAGGGACAGGCTGGTAGGAATTGTTGGAGGATATAGGCAAATCTAAGTGCCTTCGTTTCTACTTGCTGTTGGAATGCGGACATCACATTTGGAGTTCAAGCGCTTTCGAAGAGGAAGTAGAGACAAGGCCAGTTTTCTTTGCACCTACCCACTAATGGTTTGAACCAAAGTTAGGTGTTCAGACGTCCCCATGTGCTCTCGTGTCCTCTCCATCGGTTTCTACCTGTATCATAGGTAAATGCAGAGAACAACCCAAAGCACTGGTTTGTCGAGAATGTTGACGTCGGTGTTGTCCCACAGCTTTTCAGCTAATTCCGGACTAACAAAAACTGTACTAAAATATATTGTGGATTTTGAAAAGGCCAGAAAAACCCATGTGGAACCACAATTGAGTTTTAGAATAGGGGTCTAAAGAAATGGGGGCTCACCACTGCGCATGTGCCAAACCCAAACTGGGTTAACGCAAAATTCGAGAAAGAGTGGGGCACCTATTTCCTTGGGGCCAGTCTTGGGTAGTAACGCGTTACTGTAACTTCGTTACTTTTTTGGTAACTTGTAACTGTAACGAGTTACTTTTTAAAAATGTAACTTGTAACTGTAGTTCTATTACTTTTTTCTGAGGTAACGATGAAAGTAACGACGTTACTTTTGTCGTTACTTTCCAGTGTTTTATGAATATTATATCACTGAACGAGGTGCAATTTAGCCATTCCTTGCACATTCCAAATAGTCTATTCCGACATTTCGAGTGTCAAGTTGGCCTTGCACAACTTGACACTCGGAAATCAACCGTGAAACAACAATACACGTGGAGGGCACGGCGCATGTCTCGTATTTTGATTAGCGCCATACTCTGGCATGGAAACTTTCAAACACTAACTTCGAGAGGCAACTGCTGCTAAGTTACAATATAAAGTAAAAAGCGTACTTTTTAATTTTATGCAATAAAACGTTGTGAGGGGCGTTTTCTGATTTTTTCTAAAATTTTTGTGTTATAGAAAAGTAACTAAAAGTAACGTCGTTACTTTTTAAAAGTAACTGTAACGAGTTACTTTTTTGTTGCGGTAACTGTAACGGTAACTTCGCTACTTTTTACAAAAAGTAACTGTAACTGTAACGAATTACTTTTTAAAAGTAACTTACCCATGACTGCTTGGGGCCAGGTTTCATTGGCAAACATTGCAGCAGCTTTTCCGCTCGCTTCAAAACAAAATCGTCATGGTCGCTGCCATATCAGCCATTTTCATTGCCAGCGAATGGTGCAGCCGGCTTTCGCTTCGCTTTATCTCGCTCTAATGACAATGAGTGGTGAGCTCTCCTCAATTTAAAAATTGTCTTCCGATTCGGGCCGTTCCTAAGCCTAAAGAGGTGCGGTAACTGTCGACGTGGCAATGTCTCGCTACTCTAAGTGGATTTCGGTCACGGCACGTTACCTGGAGTTTAAAAATTAATCTTCCAAGTCGCTCCAGCTCAGATCTAAGTAAAGCAGCTGCTCAGAGTATGCCTGCTCGCGATCGTCTCAATTACGGCAGGGTTGAATGCTTAAATTTTTGGCGACAGACGCTCAAAGTGGCACACAAACGCCAAAATCGGACCAAGAATAAGCGCCAAATTAGAGCACTACGGATTGGATTGCATTGGTTGAAAACAACTAAATAGTTATACTGATTTTAGATTGTCTTGTTTTAGCCGGGTTGATTTGGTTTTGCCTTAACCCTTATTTATGAACAAAACGTTCTTGCCAACCGCACATGCTTTACAGTATTTAATATATATATTTTTTTTTTTAAATATGTCTTAACCGCAATAGCGCTGCATTGGTAAAAACCCATTCTATAAGCCGGCGGCACCAACATTTTTGTGCGAGGGTCCCACTGATTTCTGAGGGGCACCCAAACGTTCGGTCGCCCCTATTCTACAACTCTCCAATGTCAAAAGTAAAAGGGAGTAGGGGGAAAGTTTTTGTTGAGAACCTGGTAAGCTGTATTCCAATGGAACCCGCAACACAAATTTACCTCATCGTCGCAGACAAGAACTTCCCACATCCTCTCCTCTAACCCGTCCCCCCCCCTCTTCCAAATACTTTACTAGAAACTACATCTTACTGAACAAAATTCCAATGGCCTCGAAGCCAACAGCTTTTTGCATACCGTAAAATCCCGTAAGGATGCCCCCTCCCAAAACATCGCCCACCCCCCGATTCCAGTTAGACGTCAAGCAATGTCCGACCGGAATCTCACATCATTCCGGTACGTCCGAGAAGCGACTTCATAGCAGGTTCCTGCGTTTTTGTCTGCAATTTGCATGCGTGATATCGGCTCTCGGAACACGCGAGTTGTTCCCGCGTGTTTATTGTATCGTGAAATGCGAATCTGCTGCGTTCGCAATTTGCGGTATCCGTTCCAGAGTTCTCAGCGGATTCCCGTGTTTTTGTTCGCAATCTATGCTCGCGATATTGATTCTTAGCTGCAACACACGAGTTGTTCCCACGTATATATAGCATCGTGAAATGCGATTCTGTTGCGTTCACGATCTGCGATAGTATTTGTTTCCGTGACATGCGAGTTTGCAGCGTATTCCCGTGTTTTCGTCCGCGATCTGCTTGCGTGATATAGGTTTCCGTTGCAGGCAAGATTGTAGTGGGTTCCCACGTCTTTATTGCACCATGAAACTTCAATCTACTGCGTCCGCGATCGGCAGTATTCATTCCCAGGAAATGCAAGCTCTCTGCATTTTTCTGCGAGTCCTTCGCACCATGAAATGCGAATCTGCTGCGTCGGCCACTTGCGGTATACTTTCCCGTGACACAGGAGTTTTGTAGCGAATTCCCGCATATTTATAGCGTCGTGAAACGCGAATTCGCCGTGTCTGCGAGTTCCCGCGTCACGTGGTTTGTAGCAGGTGCCCCGGTGCTTATCATTAATTTTTGATAAAGTTTTGCTGTGGCATCCCCAAAGATAGCCGACCCCATGTTTTTCCCAATCTATCTCTTCATTTGGGGTGGGCGTCCTTACGGGATTTTACGGTAGTTAGAATGGCTGGACACACGCAACCTCAGAGTTTTCCCCTCTGGACTGGGAGTAAAGCCCTCTATACTGAAAGCACAGCTATTGATTGATCCCCCCAACACACTCTCGCCCTCTAGAAAATTTTTCCTGTCCAAAGTTCCCTGTGCCACTACCACAGGTTGGTCAAGCGTCCTTCCACCACCTTAAAGGGGCACTGACACATCAAAATCATATTTTTTTTTATTATCCGAAAAGATTGAAAACGATGCCGGGACATTACCCTCAAAATTTGAAATTTGGGAATTCAGTATTCGTGAAGTAAAAAAACAATTTCCAAATGCCGAATTCGAAGTTCCCGCGCGATCGGCGCCGGTGCCTTGACGTCAAAAATTGCGGAGACCTGAGAGTCCCCTTTCTTTCACCACTCCCTGCTGTTGCCATGGCGACCCAAAGCGAGGAGGAAAGGAGCGAGCGGCAGCGTTCCGGCGGACCGGTTTTGAGCGGTGTCGCCTGTTTTCCGTTGGAGGATACAAATCCAGGAGACGGCACCACAACGAACTTCCGATTTTTGGTATTTCAAAAAGAAGGGCCGTACTGCGTTCGCAATTGCGATAAAAAACATGTTTTAGAATTGCCGTAATTAAATGTTATAGAGATGTCGCCTACAAAGCTTCTAAATTTCATGATTCTTGACCTCACCGATCAAAAGAAGCGAGGAGGCGAGAGGCGGGAAAATCAAACGCCAAAAATAAAAAGGCGCGCGCGCGCGCGGGAAAATTTTTTTTTCGCGATGCGGTTTTTTTTGCGTGTCTATGACTGCAACTTGCATCGTTTTACACAATAAAAATAAATACCACCTTTGGGGTGTCAGTGCCCCTTTAACTTCTTTCCTTTTTCTCTCACCCCCCTCCCCCACACACACACAAAACCGTCAAACACGCAAATGATAACGCGCGATTGCGTCAACGCAACGCGAAAGGAAAGAGACAACCTCATCAGCAAGTCTGGCAGTAGTATTATAAACTCTCTAGTTGGCTTTTTTTTTCTTTCTATATAGTACATAAAAAAAGGGGGGAGCTTCCTCCTAAAAGCCGCCCCCGGTTAGGCCTCGGAACGAGCGACGGCTGCGCCGCGACGGGAGGTGGCAAGAGACCGCGGTCGACGTCCCGTCTTCGGCGGCGTCCGCGCAGCACGCTCTCGAGGCTCGGTCCACAAACACGCACGCACAGAAAGAACTATGTCTGGGAAGCGGCGACGACGGACGGATCCTGCCCTAGGATCCTGCGGTGGCGGGCGGTGCAGTGTCCTGATTGGTCAGCCAGGCACTGGGGACCCACTGGGGCTCCCTCTCCAAGATGGCCACTTCCTTGAGCAGCTCGCTGTACGCTCGGTCCAGGTCCGAGTTGACGATGACCATGTCGAAATAGTGTCCGTAGCTGTCTTCCATCTGGCGCGCCCGCTCGATGGTCTCGCGCAGCTCGTCCTCGCGCACTGGGACGCCCTGGCGCATCCGGTGCTGGCGGAGTTTCTCCAGGGATGGCGGCGCCACGAACACCACATAGGGCTTCAGGTCGGAGTGCTTCAGCATCTTGAGAGACTGCGCACGTCGGATAACGAAACCCTGTAGCAACCACAGTTTGCCAACAACCGGAACGATAACCCTTTCTACTGCCGTGCTCGTTTGAGACACTGACGGTCGTCAACGATGCGAGATGCGTGCTCATGTGCTCGCAAGACTCCCGAAGTGTTATCGAAAGCAGAAAGATTGTGCTGAAGGCAGAGCTTCAGGCACATTCTTAACAGGTATCTTACTAGTTTTCTTCTGTTCTCAGCCGTGTTACTAAGTAGTCTCCCTAAAATTACAGAGGAATGGATGGATGCATACAGCTAAACCCTTCAGGCTAGTTCACAGGTTTGGGTATGCTAGAGTGCATTGCATTTCCTTGCGACAGCTAACGAGAGAACACACTAGCACACTGGTGCCGTCTATCCGGGTCCAGGTAGCCCTGGAACTGCGTAGAACTAGACTGATGGCACTGCGGTATTTGCGAGATTGAATCTATGCGCTATATATGAGAACTGGCATTGTTAACCCTGGAGAGGGGGGAAACGGGGACAAGACAACACGTGTCCCGTCCCCCTGTTTCCCCATTCTCTCTCTCTCCCCTTTGCTAAGCTGCGAAGGGAACCTAGTCGGGCCAAGGTAAGAAGCGGAGAGGATATAGAAAAGGAGGCCAGAAGGTGGCAGTGCGTTCTATCGTCGTAAGTTGTCATGACGGAAGGCTACTCGCTCGAGCATGCTCGAACGAGAGTGCCCGAACCTGCTTCTCGAATCGAGCGGCAACTTGCAGCGCCCGGCCGGCGCGTTGCGCGCCGGGGGGGGGGGGGGCCACCCACCTGCGGGTGCAGGTTGAGCACGCAGACCTTTCCCGACCCGACGACGCTGCGGATAGCGCCAAGGCTGGTGCCGTAATAGTTGCGCTCGTACTCCCCGTGCTCCACAAACTTGCCGGCCAGGATGTCCGCCTCGAACTGGGGCCGGCTGATGAAGTGGTAGTCCAGCCCGTCCAGCTCGGAGTCCTTGCGGGGACGGCTCGTGTCTGCAAACATTTTGACTTGTTTGTTTTTTATTTATTTTAATTTATTACCTTTTCTAATTTATCTTATAAAAAAGTTGCCGTTGCACGTATGAACAGTGCAACGGCAACTTTAAAGCAAAAGCGTTGCAAAAAAGCAAAGTAAAAAGAAAAGGTACAGTAAATTTGTATAACAGTTATTACGGCTCGTTACAACAGTAAAAGTGAATTGTGCTTCTTCTAAAACTGTTATTGTCAACAATTTCGGACTCGGGTGGGGGAAGTCGACTCTAATTGGTTGCGGCAAAGCGTGGATCAGAGGAGAGCAGAGATTAGGTCTCTCGCCCCTGGTGCACTGTGGTAGCCGAGTACCAGCACTTTGCAGCCAATGAAATTACGGCATTGGGCGATACGAACGCCGAAGAACGAATTGCGAAGATAATACTAGTGTTGCGCGAATGTTCTAATAACACGCTATTCGATATCCGCTTCGAGGTGAGCTGCGATGTTTGTACTTTTCGAAGTGTTGCTTGTGGCGGGCGAGCCTGTGCTGAGTGCGCTTCTCACCGAGCACCTGTGGGCTGCGGGGAAGCAAAACCCGCAGTTTGCGGGCTCTGATTCTCTGCAGTGCACGGGTGCTTGGTGAGGAGCGCACTTGACGGGGCCTTGCAATGCTGCGAGAGCACATAGTTTCACGTTCCACGTCGTTCGCACGTGCTGGCGCAGAGCCTCGGAGCACTGCGGAAGCTACGCCGGGCTCGGCGACATGGCAGAAAGCGGTAGACTCTGAGTATGGGGTCGGTGTTGGGGGTAATACTGACGTGGCACTGCGGCTGCGAATCTTTCCGTGTCCTCCATGAGCTTCTGCCGCAGTTCGTGCCGACCGATGTTGGAGGGTCCCACGAGTACCACGGGGCGCTTGCAATTGGGCCGCGGGTAGAAGAGCGACACCTCCTCGTACGTCGGCACGGGCTCCCCGGTTTCCGGCTCTGCGCACAAAGGGAACAAACACTGCGCTCGCCAAAAAGTTGTACTCACAAACGCGGCCAAACTGCCGCGACCTTTGAATGGTTCGCGCATCACCTAGGGTAATGCGCTTGCATGTCGCGGCCTTCCACAATACCTAGCTTAGCGGCCTCGAAGCACAAGCGAGAAGTGCTATGCATTGCCCAAGCCCGGTGTGAGCCCGAGAAAAAGGCTGAATACAAATCCAAACTTGGCCCGGGAAAAAAAAAGAGTCTCAACGTACACCTAAGCATTTTTTACTAGTGAATGTGAAAGCATGCAAAGCCGCTCGTCCGCTCCCTTATTTCGTCCGCCGCATACTTTTCGTCGTCGGTCAGCGTGCATGCTCTTCTTGGCGCACTGTCTTAGGGTGCTCCGTGTTAACGCCGCGCTGACTATAGTTCATCGATATGCTCCCCCGAAGGGGGAGCAGAGTTGCGCATTTGTTTTCCCCGCGCCGCCACGCCGCTACTTGCCGAGATCCATCACGTGAGGAGCAAAGCATCCGGTGGCGTGCAAGAAAGCCACCTTTACGGTCGCTCCGCCGACGTTTCTCGCGCCCCGGCGTATGTTCCCCTGCTTTCGCCCACCTTCTCCTCCTCTGCTGTTTTCCGTGCGCGGCGCCGCTATTCGCCAAATTTAGTCACGTGAGGAGCAAAGCATCCAGTGCATGCGGGAAAGCCGCCGCTACGGCCACTCGTTGAGGCTGAATGCGCAACTCTGCTACCGTAGGTAGCTATATACAGGAACTCTAGCGCTGACGGACACGCAGCGCCGTGAGGTGAGCAGTCGCTGAAACTGATGCGCAGCAGCCAATGGTTGCCTCGTCGACGCGTGCCGGCCAATGGTTGCCTCGTCGACGCAGGCCAGCCAATGCTACCGAAGCCGAAAATCAATCAGCTTTACTCCGCTCCTTTGGGATCAAGAAATTTTGGTGCCGTTGGCTAGCTTTTCGTGTGGTTTCACAGCTGGGAGCTGGCTTCACTTGGAGAAAGGATTTAAGGTGCCGTTTGGTGCGGCTCGCTTCATGAGAGAACTAATGCTTTTGCATTAAAAATATGCGTGGCCTAAATCGTTCAGGGCCCCAAGCTTCGACTACTATTCGGTATAATGTACAGTCTCCGGCGATATGAAAGACCCACTGGGAGCGCGTGGCCGAGGCAGTGGCTGGTGGGGGCGCTCCGGGCAATTCTATTCTGCTTCGAGGGGAGAACGCTCACTCAGGGCTCAGCACAAACTGATAAGCGCGCGCTTTAGCTGAGCCCCGAGTGAGCGTCCTCCCCTCGAAGCAGAACGGAACTGCCCGGAGCGCTCGCAGCGCCCCCGCCAGCCACCGCCTCGGCCACGCGCTCCCAGTGGGTCTTTCATATCGCCGGAGACTGTACATGCAAGAGTTCTCATCGTCGCGTATATCGTGCATAGATTTAGAGCAGAGATGTTCAAACTTTTCTATTTTTTTTTGCCTCTTGATGGGAAGTGAAGGAGCCACTCACAGACTTGGGATTAATGCAGTGAAGCAATGCAGAAGCCTAGAGGCCTTGTAGACAATATAAGGCACATGCAGGCTTAGACCTGCTAAAACAGTACTAGAGCTTAAAGGGGCACCCAAATTCTTTTTGTAGAAGCTTGTTTTTGATGTTCTAATAAATAGCACAGTTCTAGATGGTAAGATGTTCTAATAAACTCACAGCAATAAAACTACACAGGCCCCATCTTCTCACATGGGGGGCATCCTCAAGTCCCCACCACCACTATAAAATCTGACCAATGAAAATAGTTAATCGCGTGGAGATTACAAATGTTACCATTATTGCTTTTTGTAGACTTGTGCATTTCATTATGACATAAACGTTAAATCTTTTGGCACAGGACATGTAATACAGCAATTATTGTTTGAAGGATGGGTGGAGGGATGCGGCTGAACTCTTTGAATAGGGCAGCAACTTGTGCCACCTAGCCAGTGTTTCTTGGACCAGACACCAGTGTGCGCTAGGGTTCCTCGATATGCTCCCCCGAAGGGGGAGCAGAGTTGCGCATTTGTTTTCCCTGCGCCGCCACGTCGCTGAGATCCATCACGTGAGGAGCAAAGCATCCAGCGCCGTGCAAGAAAGCCACCTCTAGGGTCGCTCCTCCGACGTTGCTCGCGCCCCGGCGTATGTTCCCCTGCTTTCGCCCTCCTTATCCTCCTCTCCGGTTTTCCATGCGCGACGGCGCATGCAGCTACGCTATTCGCCAAATTTAGTCATGTGAGGAGCAAAGCATCCAGGACCTGCAGGCAAGCCGGCGCTACTACCACCCGCCGAGGCTGAATGCGCAACTCTGCTACCATATACAGGAACTCTAGAGTACGCCGTCCGACAACGCCCCCTGGTGTCCGCTCCAAGGTGCAAAAAAAGGGGCGTGTTGCTATCTTTTTTTTTATAGACCGACATGCGGAGCGGCTCTGTTTACCAACACGGCCGGAAGGCCGCGCATGCGCGGTAGCTATGTGGGCAAAAGCAACCCGGCCCTCCGTGTTTTCGCCATTGCGTTGTGTGGCGTGCGCTCGCTGGTGACGTTGTAGGGACGCTTCTAGCTTTATTTGTGCGTCGTATTTCCTGGCAACGTATGTCGCAGGTTATGCCCGACTATTTGAGCCCGCTACCCGAGCCTGAACGGCGGTGGTATCGAAACAAACTCTGCGTGGACGGCGTTGCCTACGAGGATCCGTCCGCCGTAAACAAGGCCTGCTGGACTTCCGACGTGAGGTTGCTGCCACTGAAGTCGACGGCTCACGTCGTCGTTTATTTAGTTTTTTCGCCAAGCCAGTTCACGGCCGACACGGAGCAGGCGTACAAGTCTCTCGAGGCCTACGACTACTTCGAGTCGGTTTCCGCACTGCCGGCGGGATCAGCAGACTGTGGGTCTGCGGAAGTGTATTTATTAATTAAATAAATACACACAGCGTCTTCAAGTTAAGGTATGCTATTTTTTCTACTCTCATGACCACAAGGCGTGACAAGCAGTAACGCTTTGTCCGTTCTGCAGTCTTGGCGGTAACACGTTACAAGCAACGACGTTACCAGGAACGCGTTACTTTTTTCAGTAACGTAGTAACCTACTCGTTACTTTTTCGACACAGTAACGGGTAACATACTTACGTTACTGTTTCAAGTAATGTAGTTACGTTACTCGTTACTACAATTACACGTCAAGTTTTTCCGTGTTTTTAGGCGTCATGCCATGTTTTTCTTTGCGTTTTTTCTCGTGAGTATTTAGGTGAAACCGTAAAAAGAAATGAAGTAATTATGTTCTGTTTCTGCATGAACATAATGTTGTTTGATATATGAGCTTATGCATACCTCTATCGCCAAACCGTAAAACGCGTAAATCATAATTTAAAAAGTAACGCAGAAGTAACGTGCGTTACTTTTTATCGGTAGCGGTAACGCATTCCTTTTATTTTTAGGCAACGTAGCTCAGTAACATGTACCTTTGATTTGCAAGTAACGAGTAACGTATTTCGTTACTTTTTATTGGTAACGCCTACAACACTGCCGTCCTGTCGCCGATCCCCTTCTGCTTGGTAGCACGGGCGTAGCGAGCCTCCGACGAGCGCTTGGCCGGTGCTCTGTGCGCGAACACCGTGGGAACAAAATCCGGGTGGTCTCGATCAGAGAACGGGATCTCTGTACATAAGCAAGCCCCGGGACAGAGATTGAAATGGAAGCCGCGCTTGCCTCCAAGAAAGTGCTTGCCGCACAAACGCGCGAGGCGACCATAATTTTCGATCCACGGATATTATAATTTATACACCTTCTATGCCTTTCAGAGTCTGCCGGGAACCAGTAGAAGCTCACTCCGCTACTTTTCTTGTACATTTCGGCGAGATTAACGGCAGCACAGCTTCGCGGCATGCTGAAATACTATGACGCCCATGCGAAACGTGCGCTCTTTTGCCCACACCCCCCGGCTCCGGCGCGATCGCAGCGCCGCCGCAGCGCCGTGACGTCAATCCCGCGTGTCGGTCTATATGATTTTTAATAGGGAAATTGGCTGCTCATGAGTGTGATTCTGGGTTTTATAGGATGCTTAGAGTCCATAGGTTGAGTCACTGCCACAAATAGACAATCTCGGAATCCACTCCACTTTGCTTTGGGGGAAATTTTTAAACTCGGAAACCTGCAAGGGTGCTCCGGGGAACCCAAGGGTAGAGGAAAGGGACACACAGACGAGACCGAACTGAAAGCCAGTGCCACGAGACGCACCTTCACCGGTGATGAGCCCCGGTGTCCCACTGGTCTTTTTCTTTTTCTTCTTGTGATGTTTCTTGGCACAGAGAAACTTGGCTGCTGCAAACAAACCATAATATACAGAATAAGCATATTGTTATAACAGACCTTGATAGGTTTTGGCCAGGCAACTTTTCAGTTCTTGCCTGGCCATCGTGTACTAAGTAATCAAATTACATTATTCTGGAGACCCCACTGTCATGCGATGCCTTCGGGAAATTTGAGGATAACCAATGAAGTGAAAATCAAAATAAAAGTCAAATTCAACCGAGTTTAACATTCACGAACAGTAGACATCTTGATGATGGTGCATAATGTTTGTGAAAAGAACAAACTGAAACAATAAAGTGTGCCGAATAAAACCTTGTAAAAAAAGAATATTTGCACGATGTAAAAAAAAGTCCTACAAAGTCGCAGCAAACAGGAGAATGACATCGAGGAAAGAAAGGCAGCACAAACTCATAAACATCTGCGAGATGCACACAACAATACACCACATGCTTGGGGTTAGGTAATCAGCGTCAATCAATTAATTTTTACAAGTCTCATACAGTTAAACTGTTTTATACATAAAAAATACTTTGATACGAAAAAAATATATTTGCTACGGTAATATGCCAAAAGATAACATAGTGAGGTATTTAGCGCACAAAGTGAAAAGAAAACAGTGCCGCCCTTTTCAGTCTTGTTCTTTCTATTCTTTCTATTTTGTGCGCTAAATATACCTAAAAATGTGTTAGATTACCGCTAGTCTGAATGTCAACCTTACTTCTTGATACGTCAGGGTCTCAAGTACTGGTGCCAGAATAACAAGCTCACCACAACCTCATCGTAAAAGTTGAGGCAAGCGTTGAGGCGCCTGGGAACAGGCGCCACACAGATATGAATGCGGTAATAATGCCAATCTGACAGAGAAAACGAAAACATCCTAGAAATGTTCTATTGCACAGTTGCAATGAGTAAAACATCGCTGTATGAAGAAAAGCCGCGGTAAGACCGGAATGCTGGCACCGGCATCTAAGGTGCTGATACAGTATAATTGATTTCTTACATGCGTTAGTTAGCATTTATCGCTCTGGGGCATGCAGTCGTCTGTCGTTTGGACAATCGTGGTTAGGACCGGACTGGTTTCGTGAGGTGATGCACGCTTCCCAGCCGCGCTCTTTCGCCCTGTTCATTCGCTCGTTACATCCACTTTTCAACGACGGGCCGCGGGAGCGGGAGAGGAGTAGATTGAACGTACGTGGTGGTGACATGACGTACACAACAACGAAAGACTGAGGCGCAGCGACGACGCCGTTTGCGCGAAACTGCTGACAACCGGAAGGAAAGACTGGCTCTCCAAACACAACAGTATGCAGACCGTTGCGAGTTTAGAATTGCCATCCTTCACTGAATCGGAACCCACACGCTAAATGCCAACACATTTCGCAGAGTATCAGTGTAGCGACAACGGCTATTTCGGCATCATGTTTTTTTTCTTTTCTTTTTTTTTTTGTAAATAGAGTTTAAAATTGTACAAAACAACCGTCACTCACCTCGCTTCGTTTTTTCCTTTGTGGCTGCATCTCCACCAGCAAGCGCTTGTTTCATGGCTTCGCGCCTGCAAGACAATGAATCAGTGGCAGGTTAAGACATCGGTCATAAGGTCAAATGTAACAAGAAGACAAGCTCCAGAAAACAATTAAAGCTGAAAGATGGCAGATTGCAAGAAGACAAGCTCCAGAAAACAATTAAAGCTGAAAGATGGCAGATTGATACAGTTGAACCTCGATGTAACGAAGTCGGTAAAATTCGCAATTTACTTCGTTACATTGAAATTTCGCTAAATCGAAATTTGGCTAGCATGCGGAAAAAAAATTCCGAAACATTTTACGGGTATGAAAACTTACCGAAAATGACATTTATTTAGGGGCAAAGTAGTCCGCGAGTTTTGCTTGTGCCTTGTCCGACAGTAGCAGCGGCGTCATACGGCGTTCGAGCGCCCAGAGCGCTTGCACGGCATCTTGCTGCCCATGCGACGCCGTGTACCTCCTCAGTACGTCCATTGCGTCGAGCACTTCCCGAGTGCTCGTGATCTCGGCAGTTTCTTCAGGATGGCGTCCAAAACGTTTGCTTTCTCATCCAAAGAAAGAACTTTACGTTTCCTTATGGCAGCAAGCACGTAAGTGAACCGCCCGGTTAAAAAATAAAGCTGTTTGGTTTAGGCGGTGCCAATGTTTCCAACCTACACAGCACTCTTGACCGCACAGTTTACTTGCCCCCTTGCGCCCACAGACGATAATCGGTCTTTTCGGTCTTCTCCTAGATGGCACTGCCCGTGCGGTCGCGCGGTCGCGCCATCACGTTGCTCCCCCGCTGAAGTTGGCTCCCGCGCTACCCGCGGTACAGTGGACTATGATGATCAGTGAATGTCAGTGGTGATGCTGTTATGCCGTGTTAATTTTTTGTTCGGCATTTTCTGGCCAGCCTCGCGGAATCCGCTTTGCCGCATGCCTCGCCGGCGCTACCGGCGCCGCATCCTCGGGCAGCCTAGGAACGTTGGAAGGCCTGTCCCCGTGAAGTAACCTATCAAGCGCTCGCGTTTGCGCATAATTTTTTTTTTTTTAACCACAATTTTTTTCCGAAGTTGTTTTTTAGAGTTGATTTATTTATTGCCTTCTATGGCAATGGCGCTTCGTTATATTGAAATAGCAGCAAAATAGACTTCGTTATATAGGGACTAAAAATACATGGGGTCTATGGGCAAGAAATTATGAAAAATAAAATACTTCGTTAAATCGAGGATTTCGTTACATTGAAGTTCGTTATATCGAGGTTCGACTGTACCACATCTACGCTAGTAAAACATCTGCCTTCCTGCAGAACACCCATACAACCAATCGTCGTGTTCCACATAAGAAACAATGCAAAGGACGACGTCCAGAACATGATTTTCCGTAAAAAAGACTCGAGGTACGCCTAAGCACGTAAGTTGTGAATGTGAAAGCATGCATGTGGTTCTTCTGCTCCCTTATTTCGTCTGCGGCATATTTGCGTCGATGGCCGAGCGCACGCTGTCCTCGTCGCTCTGATCTTGGATGCTTCGTGTTACTGGAGTGCTGGCGGTGCGGACAGGCAGCGTCTTGGGGTAGCAGTCGTTTAAACAGACGTGCAGTGGCCAATAAGAGCCTCGTTCCAAGAAACTAAGACGTGCGCCAGCCAATGGGATTGAAGCCGAAATCTATTAGAATTCGGCTTCACTCCACTCCTTTGGGATAGGGGAAACTAGGTGTCGTTTGGCTAGGCTTTTCGTGTGGCTTCAAAGCTGGGAGCCACGAGATCGCGGCTTCAGTTGGAGAAAGGAGTTTAGGTGCTGTTTGGCACGGCTTCAAAACTGATGACGCTGGCTCGCCCCATGGGACAGTTAATGCTTTAGCATTAAAAAGTTCACGTGAGGATGTTACCTGTACCGTAAAGAGGTATTCACACGAAGAAGAAATCCCTCCCCTTGCTCACTCGGATGCGCATCATGCGGATTACCGGCGGTGGCATCAGAATCGCCTACGGTAATTTTCTGTGGCTTGCGCTGTTGCGCATGTCGTCCGAGGCACCCGAAGAGGAGTCTTCCATATTCATCAACTCCATCGTGGAACCGCTCCTTACAGTACAACTGGTTTTCAATTTCACATTCTTTTGTGTAGCATCCACCCAATCAAAAAGTATATTTGTTTTTAGCAGGAAGCAGCTCGTCGTCTTCTGCATCTAAGAGCGCTGCTGCCGTGGTCGCCTATCGGCGTTTCACGTACGCCTCCATTTTTCTACTTTCGTCAACGCGCACGGATCCCTGTTGTCGAGAATACGACCGCGTCTGATAACAATGACATCCCTCTCGGCTCCCCGCCGTTTGTGTGAATGCTGGAGTTGGGGAGGGAGTCCCGCTGGTTCTGCCGATCACCGACGTCATGCACAACCCTTCCCAAAAAGCATCCCCCGTGTGAATGCTCCCTAAAACACTGGCATCTTCCTGCCAATTGCAATAATTGGCTATGCACGTCGCTCATGATTAGGGTTCCCTGTTTCAGGTGTTTATTTCTCCTAAAATTATTATTTATTTAGATTTGGTGTTTTTTTGTTTAAATTTTTGGTGCCGGACAAGAAATCGGCATTTGCTGGGTTTTATATCCAAAAGAACTAGGCACAGGATTGCCCAATTTCCAATGGACATGGGCGCAGGGGCGGATTCAAAAGGGAGGGAGGGGGCGACCACCCTTTCCTAAGCTCCCCAAGGTCAACTTTGTTTTATTAAAATAATTGATATACACCAGCCAAAAGTTTAGATTTTGGTGACACAGCAAATATTGAGTCAACAAAATAGATCTGGGCAATGTTTCGATCGTAATGTCATATCTCAGCAGACAGACCCCCCCCCCCCCCCCGTACGCCAGCCGAATGCCTACCACCCCTCCCTGGCCTGACCCATAAATACGCCCCCCCATGGGCGTGACCCAATACTTGAAAAATGTCCATGTACCAAACAAAAAAAGAAAAAAAAAAAGCTCCCCAATCCTTCTGGTCTCCGAAAAAAAGCAGCAGTTTTGCAGACAGTTACGTGCAGCAGTGTTCGAAGTAAATACAAAATAAAATTGTGATTCGAGGTGTTTTTCCCAAGAAGCTTGGGTTTTTCTCATTGAAGGACAGCTCTAATTCAGAGTTTTGGCACTCCATAGAAATGGCCCATTCAGTAAAAAAAAGGTTGATTCTAGAGAACTTGCTTATTCCACAGAAATTGCCCATTGCAAAGAAATGGCCTATTTCAGAACAAACTTACTACATATATAGAACCATGGATGTATTTAGGGGCCTAACCGCTCATTCACACTGGAAGAAGATCCGCGTTCGCAAAGTGGTTGCGAATGTGGTTGTATAAAGATCCAGTGCAATTGCACGCGCACTCAATGACATCAAGCACACATGCAATTGTACTGGATCTTTATACAACCGCGTTCGCAACTACTTTGCGAACGCGGATCCGCTTCCAGTGTGAATGAGCGGTAAAGGAGGCTTGAGGAAGGGGAGAGAGCCTGAGGTTTATACCTTGCATCATTATTGCGTAATGCACGGTATAGATCCCAGAGTAGCGGTGGTAGTGCACTGGCCATCTCTTTTAGAGCAGAAACCAGCATCGCTGCACCTCAAAAGGCAGGCCAACCTCACGCCATCTAAACGCAAACAACAAATTTAATCTGGGTCAACCCAAAAAAGAGAGGGATGGAGGGAGGGAGGCAGGAGGGGAGGGGGAGAGGCACAAAGAGTCCACTCACTGCTGCTGGAAGGACTTGGAAGGGATGAGCCCCGCCAGAGTCTGGTCCTCCTCGCCCTGGCGGTAGGCCTGCCACCAGTTAGGGTCGTCCCGGTTGATGACATGCAGGACGTCCCCCTTCTGGAATGGGATGCCCAGCTCCCGGCACGGGATGTACGGGTCCTCCTCAGGCTCGTAGTCAAAGTGGGCCTAAGAGCAGAGGGACCGGTTAACTGTCGGAGTGGCCGGCACTTGCATTTCACTTACTCCAGCTACGGGGCCCAGCTGGCAAAAATATAAGCATGCCTCGATCACGTCCGCTAAACTCCAAACACACGGCATGTGTTGAGGATAAGCTGGGTGCATGCTGTGTCTGTTTGCAAACTTGCACGACATCGCTGTGTCACATGACATGGTGTAACGCGACATCAGCGCATCGTGTGATGTCACGTGTCGTCGGCGTGCCATGCGACACCCTGACATCAAGGTCACGTAAGCAATGTAGCCCCACAGGGGCCATACTACTTTTACGACCTTAACCTGCACGTCAATTAAGAGTAACGGTCAAGTGTCGCTTTTCTAACGAAACCCAGCCCTATAGCCCAATCTGCTTTAAAACATTTAAGAGGCCTATGTCCCTTATGGTGAAGTATGGCAAATAAACCCCGCAAAATACATAAAGCACGACATTTCTCGTCGTGTCTGATAAGCACAACGTAACTCAACTTTGAACACAACCGGCCCCAGGAGTCTCTCCCAATCGAGTCGGCCGAGATGCCCGGAGAAGAGGCGCGCCACCCACCTTGACGTGAATCATGCCCGTGTCCGTGCTTCGGGGGGCAATGACCTCGTGGCCGCAGGGCACGATGAGAAAGGTGAGGGTGCCCGTCATGGTGGCCAGCAGGTCGCACACCTCGTTCACCGACTTGCCCCTCATCCCGATGCCGTTCACCTCCAGCACTTCGTCCCCCTCGTGCAACAACCCTGGTGGGGGAGGGGTCAAACTTTGTTCAGACACTATGTCCTCCCACGACGGCCGGTTTCGACAAGGAGGGGCATTGAACCGGCGTGAAGTCACATAAGCACCACTGCGCGATGCACGTTTAGGGGAGCTCCAGCGAAATTTTTAGAGTCTTTGATTTGATAGTCATTGGTGGTACAATGCATCATCTGAACTAAACCCCCTAAATAAAATTCCTAATAAATCTTTTTTTTTTTTTTTTCACAGTTTTTAAATTTGGTTTGAGAGGAGGCTGTATTGGCAGCACCAAAAACATGACATCAAATGTTGTAATATGGGGCAGTAGACCTTGTTCCAGGCGGGTTACAAGAAGTTTGATAGTGTGAAATACCTATACGCTAAAAAAGCTTGCACCAGAAAAAAAAAAAAGGAAAAAGATTACACAAATTTTTTTAGAGATAAATCTCGCACATTTATAGACGAGTTTCCGAAATCATTCTTTGGAAGTAAAATTGAAATAAATTACACTGTTTACATCACACCAGTGACCAGAGCAGATACGCGTTTCAACGATGGTAAAATGACAGGTGAGGTTCACGCATCTAATAATACATTTAAGTTTACTTTTTTTTTTCCAGGACAATAACTGCATAGAATCATTATCAAAGATTACTGTTGAGAGTTCAAATGTAGAAACAACATTCATTGCACATTTGGGAATTGCAGCCTTGTGAAAATATTTTGTTACTTATGAACTTTATCCTTGCTAGGCAATGTATTACTTTTATGCCACGTTCTATTGCTGTTCCTAATGCTTTTCTTGTCTTTTATCCTGTTCACTCCTGCGTGGACTCGAATGAGTCTGCTGCATTTTTAAATAAATAAAAAGGTATGGACTATATAAGAAAAAACTTCCCTTCACACCAAGTTTGCCCCTGCAGACAAATTTCCCGACTACGGTCCCGCCGAGCCAGAAAAGACGGTATTTTACAAATAAAGTTGGTCAAAGCACAAAATTAAGAATCCCCAAATTTTTTATTTTTTTTTTTATTTGTTAAGGTTTGTTTAGGCCAATGTACCAATCTGGACCACAGCAGAAACCACTGCTCCGGTTTCCAATTTGGACCATACTATTTTCGCTTCTTTGAGAGTGGAAGTTCTTATAACAGTGAAGAATACGAACTTGTATATTTCATAGGATGGCGACAGCAGCTGAAGGTTTTATGCAACCAGGTGTTTGGCTATTTCAAAGTACCGACGTTTAATGAAGTAACACTTGTTTTCAAGATTTGTCGTGAGACCGTTAGTAGTGCCAATTGCAAAGGTGCCATGTCACATGCAGCTGTAGAAATATTTTTCGATACCGGTGATTTCTTTTAAAGAATTCATTATATGTTTCTGTCTAAACACCATTTATTAAAAAAAAAAAACAGAAAAAACGGAACTCAGGTAAATTTTAAATTTCTAGTGAAAAATGAACACTGAGAAACGCATTCCGAATTTCACAAAAAATTAAGCTCCGAAACCACGAAATCACATTCATAACGTACCGCTCTTCTCGGCGGCACCACCTTTGACGATCCGTCCGATGATGACCGATTCACCCTCGTTGCGCACCGTCGCACCCTGTGGGAGAAAATCGAAACGCGTGAGGACAACCTGCACACAGGCTCAAAACGCAACCGCTGCACAGTCTTGAGAGCAGATTCAGTTCCCGAATGTCTTTTCGTGACAGCATGCACTTAAAAAAAACCATTAGACAGTAATCGACGATGGAAGGCTGGATGGTCCTCCTCTCCCACCCAAGATCGCATTACAGTAACCACAGAAACTAGAACCCGGGACATCCAGGTGTAAATGAAGATCGATATCTAAAAAGCCGCGTTTTAAACATGTGAAGGGTATAATACTATGGTGCCCAGAATGCATGCCTCACTGGCATGTCTACGGCGTCCTCAAATTTTCCCCGATTTCCCCCCCGGTGACATCACAGAAGCGTCACATTGTTGCCTGACGCGCTCATGGCGGTGACAGAACGGCGATGGTGGACGCGGAAGACGTCTCTTCCACTGCAGGTTGCCACCCAGCTCGACAGCCCATGGAAGCTTCAGCAGCCAGAAGTTAGGACGCTGCGACTACGGCGACGTCAAGCCGTTTGTGGGTTACTCAAATAAAATAAAAGTAAATACTTTCTCGCCGGAACTTCTTGACCGACAGCAGGAACTGCGGCATCAGACGGCATGACGGCTCTTGTGACAACATTTGATGTCACTTCGGGACCGCTTTCGACGCGGGGCCAGTGCTGGACGCTAAACACGCCAGTCAATGACGCGTTCCGGGTACCATAATAGTATGGATCGGCAACAAGGTCTTAGCAGAGTTCCAAATCCTCCTAGAACACAACAATAATTGGTTACGAGTTAAGAATTAAGTGGAAGCTCAGCTTCTAGCATGCGCTTGTCGCTTTCTGCCAGGCTCTGGCTGTGACGAAGCGTTACCAAAGGCAGAAAGTTTGTGCTCGGAGGCAAAGCGTCTACGGGTTCCTCTCACCAGGGGTTCGTTGGTTTTGTCGATGTGCACGATCTTGATGCTGTCCTCCGAGTAGTGGGCGGCTCGGTCTAGCGCCTCGTGGGCGCCCCCCGTGCCCGGCGGCGAGTGCGCCCAGCGGGGCCCCGCACCGCAGCGAGCCGCTATGCGGTCGTGGCTCAGCAGCAGGCCCTCCACTTCCAGCCGCGTCAGAAGGTCCTGCAGCTGCGCCGCCTCTGGAAGTGCGCAGCCTTGCAGTAGCGACAGCACCTGCATCCACACGCAACATATTGCATTGCGCTGTCCGCAAGAACATGCTCTTCTGTCTCCTTCGTGTCCCATTACATATATGCTATATTTTTGGCTTGGATAAAAATTTCCCAGTGATACAGCGATCTATTACTTAAATGAATTCCAGTCAAAGAAATTATTCCGATGAACAAACTTCCGTAAAATTACCCCGAAAAACCCCATTGTGTATACTGCCTTGAGTTGAGTGAATTTTCACTTCAGCAAACTTTCTCTGAAGTCTTCTTAAAGTTTGTTCAAGTGATATTTTACTGTACAATGCTTTAGTTTTTCATGCAATCAAATTTACTCTCCTGCTCCTCTTACCAAGTTTGAGTAAAGTTATATATTGGTGTTTAAGAAAAAATTAAACAAATATGCGCATATTCTTTTAACCTAACAGAAAAATTAGATTTCAATTACCATATTTATTCGAATATAAGGAGGGGTTTTTTCCCAAAATCCGTAGTCTCAAAGTCATAGCCCGCTTTATATTCGAAGGTCAATATACATTTTTTTTTTCTTTTTCTTGGGTCCTTCAACTGCCCCCTCGCCTTATAATCGTGACCGCCTTATATTCGAGTAAATATACGGTATATGGATGAAGTCGGGAGAAACAAAAAGTGCAATGAGAAAAATGCATATGTTTCTCTCCTTATAATTAACTAATTATATTTAATTAATAATAATTAATTAACAGAACCCACAGAATTTAGCGGAATGCAAGTCTGCTACATTTAGCGGTCGTGCAGCTTTTTTTTTCACGAGGCTCTTTCCAAGCAGCTCCGCTCATCTCGTAGGAACCAGCTTTGTCGAGAAGTCCAATTGCCGCGCACTTAGCGGCTAAGTTAAAGGGAAACTGAAGCGGTTCTCTATTTGAGAAAAGACATTTCAATGGCCTTCATTCTACCTCCAGGATCAGGAATATCAAGATTATTTTTCAATTTGGTGCACGGAGGCTTCAGAAATTAATTTTTAAAGTACCGCCGAAGCCCCTCCTTCCCGGGGCGTGACGTCACACTAGGAGCATTCGGAATATCTGCTCTTGCGCATCTTCAGCGCCTGTCAAAGCTATGCACGCGCACTCTTGCTATTTTCAGAAAGGTCAGAAAGAGACGTCACGACTGGTGTCAGTGCGGGGAAATATACCTGGCAAGCTTGCCGTTGCACGCGCTGAACACACGAGCGACACGCGCTTGGAGGCCCGAAGATCCTAGTATGACGTCACGACTGGTCGAATGTTTTTTCGCTTTTTCTCGCTTTTAGTTGCATCTTCGGGGAAAACAAAAGTGATATTCAGATTCACGGGATAAAAATACGCCAGAATTCACCTCTAACTCGTTTTTTTCAAGAAGTGTTTCAGCTTCCCTTTAAGAAGTAAACCAATGGGGCGACAGCAACATAGATTATTTGTTTGTGTCATTGCTCAGTTGATGTTGCCGAACGCCGATGCGGCGTTCGACTGGGCCTCGTGTTCAATCAGTGAAGCACCAATCAAATACGAGCCCTGGTCCAGCGCTGAGCCAGAACGCTCAGCATGTAGTTCAATCTCCTGGCCAATAATATTCTGTTAAAATATAATCCACGTGACAACGAGCTAATCAATCGACAAGTCACCTATCCATCAAACCGAAAATAGCAAATGCTTAAGCGACCCCCCACCTCTTGCGCCAGCTCCTGCGCATGGGAGCAGGTGGGGGTCGGGGGCCTCTGGTAGCACCATGCCTCCTGGACCCCGTTGCTCACCACCAGGGCCCCCTGGAACCCCGGCTCCCGGAGGAGGGCCGCCACGGGCCCCAGGGCTCCGGGCTCCGCCAGGGGTTCCAGCCGTTCCAGGCACTCCTCCAGCTCCCGAGAATCTGCAAGAACAGAGGGCATGCCCGGATGACTGCCATCTCCGAAGAGTAAATGTGGGTTCGCTATCTTTTGAACCTCGAAAAACCCTTTCCGGTTTTGACATCGGCGCGATAAAGTAGTGTAGAATAGTCTCAGTTGCTTTCTGACGTAAACAATGTTTCCTTTTTTTTTTGTGTATCCGGATAAAAGTAAACACTGTCGGCACTCGCTCTTTGTTCCAAGAAAGTGTCCAATTAATTCAACCGAGACACCTACCCTAATTGAGTGTTTAAAAAGTCCCCAACCTTCAACGCTTTTCCCCAACTAATCGAGCAAAACCACTCTGGCTCACTTCTGAGAAACGAAAAGGTCCGAGACTTTTCACGACTGCACAAATTGCTGCTTCTCATCTATCCGTCCAGCATGTCAGCGAAAATTTTCTTTCACTGAAATGCTGCGCATAAGCACCCTTTTGGAGCTTACCACTGCCCGCCAGGCATGAAAACAAGTCCGGTTCCTTAGGTAATTTCTCGCGAAAATCCCGATTGCAACAGTCCCTTTTCAAAATTCAGTGCCATCTGGTGGCTTAAAAAGCAGTTTCAATTTTGACGAACAAAATGGCGGTCATGAAACTGTGTTTTATGGAGCACCGTCACTTTCCCACATCAATGGCGGGTGGGAATTGATTCTTTGATCGCCGCACATTTCTTTCTCGATTTGTTTCCATTTCAAAGATGCGAACACAAGAATTGATCAGAACAAAGCGGTAACTGATAAGCCCCTCGATTAAATTTCCACCATCAAAAGGCTTCGGACCCGAACTTGTGACAAGAGATTGATTGGACTACACTCCAAAATTAATGCTCACGCAGCCATTGCATCCAATTCACGCGTCACATCCTACTGACGTTTGGAACGTACAGGCCTCATGCTGTCGAGACCGGTTATAACGAAGTTGGCTGTAACGAAACAGTGGCTACAGCGAAGCGATCACGATTTCCCATTCCCTTTTGCACTTTGAAGTTGGTTATAATGAAATAGCGGATATAGCGAAGTGATTTCCGATTCCTGTTGACTTCGTTATAACCGGTCTCGTCAGTATATCCTCCGCTTGGTACTACAGTGCAATTCGCTAATAACGATGCCACATATAACGATGTACTGTTTTTAACGATCAGTTCCTAGAGTTTCTAGACTATAAACACTCAGTTTCTAGTCCAGATGCAACGATAATCGGTTATAACGATTGAATTTACGGGTTTTTGCATTATCGTTACAAGTGGATTGCACTGTATCTTCAAATGCTTCCTTTGTCCGCACCAAGAATGCCGCCATTAGTTTGGCACGGATGCCGTACACCGAGACAACAATGGCGATCAAGTTGCCAGACTGAATTTCGAAAAGGGTCTACTGCAAGCATCTGTGAGCTAGGGCAGCGTGGAAGTCTCACTGTATGTGCGGGTGGGTGGCTTGGGAGCGCTGGTGGTCCACAGCCTTGCATCCGAGGGCAGTGTGCTGAAGGAGGCGTCTGCCTCAAAGGCATCGTTGAGGATCCCTTCCGACCCCTGGGCCAGGGCCCGGAGCTTCTTGGAGCCGCGCAGCGACGAGCGCAGGAACTCTTGCTCCTGAGCAATCCGCTCCTCTTCCTCTTTGCGCTGGCGAATCTCCTCCTGCAAAGTGACATGCACGCCGCACCATCTCGGAGTGCTCGATTCTTTGGAGACACCCGTTATACTCCGTTCAACCTTACAGCAGACAACAGCGGACGCCACGGGACAGCCGAATCAATCCAATGCAGTGCGAATGTCACGCAATTTTCAAAAGGGGGCGCGGCAATGTACGAAGTGCAGTCGCACAATGCATTCGCAGCATTGGATCGACTGGGATGGCTCCTAGTATCCGGTGCAGTCCATCGCACCGTGAGACAGATCATAGATGAGTCGGTACGACAAATGTGCGTTGGGACACAAACAAACAAGCGCGGAAGAGGGATAGGAGAGAATGGCAGTGCAAGCTCCCGAGTTCTGGGACGCTTGCACGTGATCCTTGATTACAGTTCTTGATACCACGTGGAGCTAACAGTTTAAAAATGAGACCACGGTAACCCCATTAATAATTTCGAATCATCCCGTATTCACCACGTACGAAGGTAGCTGCCAGCACGAGGGCACCACAGTATTTTTTTGTCCCAGTAGGCTTCCGGTAGTGTAATACCAGCAATTATAATACAAGCAGAAAACAAGAAGATAAAAAAAAAAAAAAAGAAAACAAGAAAGCCAAAGTGTGCAAGGGTCCGCCGATAGTGGGCGGTAGTGAGCTTGTTGGCAAACAAGCTCACTACCGCCCACTGGCCTGGGAACCTGGGAATAATGGCACGCCGGCCCGGTTTGGAAACGATAGACCGCGGAAACCAAATCAATAATCGACACCAGACCGACTTGGAAATTATAGGTCACGGAAGCCCGACAATAATTTCAAATTATTGCGTATGTATAACAGTACAACATTGGACCGGTTTTAAAATCATAAGCCACGGAAATCCCAACAACAATTTAAGATCACAGTGTATAACAATACACCGGCTTGAAAGTGATAAAAACCCGACAACAATCTAGGATCACCCTGTACAACGAGCGCCATTCACACACTTTCAACCGAGCAGGACCAAGAAAGACCAAGACCGGTTTTTAAGCCGGCAAACCAGCTCAGTTAGAAAAGTATCCACCACAGAAGCCCAGTTTTAAAATTATAGGCCATGGAAACCCCAACAATGATTTAGGTTCAGCACTCCGGCCAAGTTTATGGATAATAAATAGGGTTTTGTGTTTTCAGTATATACCGATAAACGTGGAAAATTTACCCCCGAGGCAACTTTCTCTGAATCGGTGAAAATCAAAAATCCCCAAATTTAATATGTAATAAGAAAAAAATTTGCCAGTCTTATAGGAAAAGTTCTTACCCAACCAATACAAAAAGAAAAAAACTTTCTGAAAAAATTTTTTCTAAACGACAAACCATATTCCTTGCCCCGTTCTCTTTTCTTATCTTCACCAGCATCACTAAAGAGAGTATCATAATGCATAACTTATAAATTATAATATCTTCTCTAGTAATTATACAATCGCTTTACAACACAAGCCCGATAAGCAGAGACTTCTCTCCGCCATTGAAATTGGACACCAAAAAACACCGATTAAAAGGGGAAAAGAAAATTAAAAATGAACACGGATAAATAACTCTCGAATTTGGAGAAAAATAAATGCCGAAAACACGGAACCCCGGTTATGAACCGTGGAAACCTGGTCAATAGTTCTCGATCGCCCCGCAGAATGGTGCTGGCGCAAGCCGTCTGCCCGCCTGCCCCGGCCACCCACCTGGTACTTGCGTATTCGCTCCAGCTGCTCCCCAGTGGGCGCTGCCCCATTGAGCCTGGGCGAGCCCTGGGGCCGTGGAGGCGGCGGGTACCGAGGAGCAGTCTTCGCCACCGCCACAAACGACTCTGGCACGTCTACCGCCATCTCCCGGTGGGCGGGCAGTGCACCGGGCTCTCCGTCGGGACTCTGGCAAGGGCAGAACACGGAATGAGGGGATCGACCAGATTTCCTGCTGGTGCGCGTTCCTTGTTAAGGACGGAAGAGATGGTGCGACCGAATCCCAACTTAGGTAAAGACGTTCCGTTTATTTTCCTGTCGTAGGACTTGTGCGCGGGAGCAAAGTCGTCGTCGTCTTTGCCGGCAATGTTGGGCCGGAGGATTGCCACACCTGACACCAACTACTTACAACCGTGCGACGCACTCTACTGCATTCAATGCACTATTACATTCCAACTGAAGCTAACCCAGATTTCGTGTTTGTCCATGGCGAGCATGGCACGTCACGCGACCCAACGTCATGTCACAAAGCAAGCGGTGCAAAGTCGTGGTGTCGGGTCACGTGACTTCGCAGTGGCAGGGGACATAATGCCACCGGACGCGACATTGCGCGACACTATGACTTAATGCATAACTTGAGGCCATAACATCACATGACTAAGCCAGGCAACATCCCATAATTAATCAGTGTGTGCCAATAGCAAAAACCTCATGAAATTCTGCATTTGACGCTACGATCGACGGATGAAAACACATCAACCAGTTCTTTTTTTTTCTTAAGGGCAGGCCCGCAAAACCTTCTTCAACAAGAAAGAAAATCACTCCCTTTTTCTCATTGCATGCACCATCAAAGACAAAAGAAGCTTCCTTTGTAAAGACCCCCAGAAAAGACACCTCTTTCGTGCTTACAATGGGCACAAAAATGATGTTTCGGGCACTAAGCCGATAGTTCCCGGACAGGGAGAGGGGAAGAGTAGAGCGAAAATTGCTGATCGGCCTCAAAACCCTCGTTCGGAATTCTCAATGGTGTCAACGACTGGGGCAGAGCAGCACCACGTTACTCCCTACACCAAACCTTCGTAAACACAACGACGCATCTCCCTTTCTGTTCGCTCCTTCCATTCACCCTCATTTGTGCACAGCCGCATCTCCTATCTTCAAAAAAGTCAATCTCCCCTTCTGTCAGTTCGTTCCGCTCATCTTAGTTTGTGAACGACCCACACCTATGTTCCTTTTTAAATCAACGACGTTCTGCAATAAGCCCGAGTAGTATCGCCGTAGAGCCGCAGTCAAACTGCTCGTATCTCGTGCAAAAGGCACGCTGTCCACTGCAGACACGATGAAAGAAATACCTGCAGACACGCCTCGCGTACGTTTGGAGCATGCTTATTTCACTCGTCTATTCTTCGAACACGTTCGCAGGCAGTTTTAGTACGACCGACATGACAAAAGCGTCGTACAAATAACAAACATGCCTCGGACAGTGTTTGCCGACCGTCTTTAGTATGACGTATCAGCGGTGGGACCGCGACCTAAGAGTCCCCGGAGCAGCGGCCACCCACCTTCATCCCGGGGGAAGGCGAGAGCGACTTCCTGGGCGTTGGCACGGGGGGTGAGGCGGACATGGGCTCCTCCTCCGGAAGGTCCTGCGTGAGTTCCAGCTCCTGGTCCGGGTATGAGGCCGTCTGGCCCAGGTGGCCGTTGGCGGTCGCCGCCACCGCCGCCGCCTCGCTCTTGTCCGTGCCCGCAGTCTCTCCTGGGAACCGAGCGAGAGAGGCACGGTGCTTAGTGAAAATGCAACTGCATCTGGCAACCCCGGCAAGCAACTGGGGACAGTTCCAAAACGTTTTAGAATGTGTCGTAGAAGGAGGTGCGTCGTTACTGAGTTGCAATTGTACCGTGTGCTGGCTTCTTTCGGGACAGCAACAAGAGACGACGACTAAATGCCCTGGACAACCGCCTTCTTAAAGCAGGAGTGTGCTCATTAAACCACCGAGAAGTCAACTATCAGTTAAGGCTGGTCACACATTTGCATTTGAGTGTGATTGACAGCATTGCGACCCCTTGTGACGGCTCTCGACAAGGCACCACACTGATGCACTCATAGGGTAGCCCGAGAATACTTTTGATCCACACACATATATTAGACGTCCAGAGATGGAAGTGGCATTTGACCTTTTGTAGCAGGTTCTGTAGCAGGAAAAATATTGATTTGGAACAGCCACTGATGCTTTTGAAGCACATGCCAACACCTGTTGGCACATCACTTGAGAATGAAAAAATGATTGCATCTCCATCAGTTCATTTATGGTAGTGATCAAGGGCTCCTCTTTGATGCTCGAGCATATTAACTAATACCGTTTATGGTAAGAATAGATAGGGCATAAAAGGAACACAGTCTTCTTAAATCACGCTCTAGTCAGAGTAGGTTTCATTTACAATGGGTATTAAAATGGTTGAAAAGGGAATCATAGCGCAACCCTTCATTTAGATAAATCCTCTCTCCCCTTTCGATTATACACTCAATAGTTTGTTTAGTCCGTAAATATAATTTGTGTAGAATGCCAGCGAGAACTAGCATATTTGCTCACACATCTACTAATAAAATTGTGTCCCGTAAGTTTAATGAACCTACCAAACTCAAGACTCTAATATCATAAACTGCGAAAACAACCATCCAAAAATAGCATAAAAGCCTACACTCAAAACTTTAAAGGTGACACTGCTCTTTAGTGGCGTAGAAACCAGAGCTACATCAAAGTTTGCTACTCTTTCAATCGACAGCTGCAAGGGAACTACCGCGCCTACTGTATTTATTCAAATATATATATATATATATATCCCTTGTTTTCTTCTCTCTCTTTCTCTAATATACATATTTTTTTTTAATTAGAGATTAACTTACAATTAGGACAAAGACGTTTGACGAGTAATAATCCTGAGCATCATCTACATGCCCATTGTGCTAAGCCAGGCGCTTCCCCGGGTCAGTTGCTGCTCCTAGCACTTCGGTGCAAAGCGGTGAAGCTTGATGCACGCACGCTGGTGAGAGGCGGCGAAGGTTGACGCAATGGCGTAAGTGCCACGGTACTCTGCAGCCACAGAATGAATGCACGTGGGAGACACGACGATCAAGTGGTCTTATCAGGAGTACAAGACCCTAGTTCTGTTTCATCAGAGTAGCGGCAATCGGAAATTCTACTACTTTGCAAGGTTTCCTTGGGACTCTTAATTCCTGACATCGACGACATCGTCTGGAAATTTAGATGATGTTGACAATCAACCGCCCAGAGCAGTTGATGCCCAGCATTAACGGCTCTGGCCGGTTGATTCGCAGCATCAAAGCGCGACATCATAGCATTCGTCATCTCCTAGTAAGAGTTCTTTCATCGGCTAAACCAACCAAGTGCCACGAATGTCCCGTAACTTGCGCTTTGAGTATGTGTACTGGTGGTTGTGTGTTCGAGCCTTTGACTGTGCTCTGACCTCAGACAAAACAATCTATACGGTGAGTAGAGACGTGAAATTCACATTTGTACTATTTCTCTGAACATTAAAGTCGACCAATAAAAAAAACATTAATTTTTTTGCTTCAAGCGCACGTCGGCGCAGGTGTGGCACAACTCTTAGCAAAAATGGCATTTTGGCTTAAGATGTAGCAGACTTTTATTCTTGGTGCAATTTGGCACAAACTGGAACAACTTCTAACACTGGACATCAGTCTTCCACTGTGGGCTTACAATACTTCTGGCAATTATAAAAGAAGCCTATTCTCATAGGTAGATTTGCATCATTTCTCACAAATGACGCAAATACTGCAGAGATACTGCAAAGCAATGGGTTAAGAAACCGTTAGATGCCTCGCCCCTAGCACAAGCTTTCTGCCCTCAGTAACACTACCCAAGGCCCGGTGGAAGAAAACAAGCACGTGCTGGAGGCAGCGCATCTACGGGGAGCTGGAATATAGGTCCTGGAACCTATAAGGGCTACCCGAAAGATGGCGCCAGCGTGGTCACTCGTCGTAAGCGGTGCACTCGAGCACACTCAAATGCAGTTGAGCGAAGCAGCCTATACACGCAGCGACCCGCAAATCGAACCGTTGGGAACCGGGTGTGTGCTCAAACGAACCGAGCGAGTCGTGGCGCTGCAGCCGCTGCAGCTGTGGCACGGAGGCCACGTAGACGGGGCTGGCCTCGGAGGCGAGCAGGAGCAGCCCGTTGGAGCCCCCCTGGGGGCCCTGAGCCCCCTCGGCGTTCAGCTCCTGGGACAGCTTGGTCATGTCGACGGGCTGGATGCGTTGCAGGGCCGACAGCCGCTCCAGCCGCTCCCTCGCCTGCTGCTCCACCGCAATGACAAACGCCTCCTGCACATTGCTGCTGCTCTCCGACAGGTCCAGCACTGGAAAAGCGACAAGAGCTGCCGTCGTCAGAGAGCCCACGACGAGACAGATCAGCTCGAGCACTGTTCGGCGCCCGCCCCTTAAAGGCGGCCGGCTTGTACGGAAAATATTGAAAAAAGGCAACGACAACAATGTGAAGTAAAAAAAAAAAAGGTTAACAATTGTATTGAAATCTGTCGATCAAACGCAGAATTGCCGAGCTTCTACAGCACCTCTCCTCGTCGTCCTTTCCTGTCTCTTCTTTACTGCAGTAACGGTACAAATGCAGATGCACGAACTGAGGTCTGGGAGCGTGGTGTGGGGCGACCCATAAGGTGATGACATGCAATGCGTGGAAAGGAAGAGAAAATCTGGGTTCGCTTTGTGAACTACCGCACCAGAACAGCTAGGCAACGTAGGAGACACTGCAAACACAGAGCAGAATCAATGTTGCCAGCAGTGAAGTGCGAGATGGCGAGATTTCCTTCTTATTGGTGGGGCTCAGTGGCCTAATGTGTTAATGCACCACAACTTGAAGTATGCGGAGTGGACACTCCATGTGGAGTGAACACTCCTGCTGCAGAACCCAGGGGTCCTGTGTCCGATTCCCACCCCAGCCCGTCTCCATCTGGTTCAGCATCATACCAGCGTGTCTGATTTACATATGCAATTTATTAAAAGAACCTTCTACGACATGCACAAACAAGTACTTATAAGAGCAGCTCTTTAAAGAATTCATCGGTAAGGTGCTATCGTCTTGAGTAAAATGTTAACATTTCAATCAGTTTATTTTGAAAATTGTGGCTGATTCACAAGATATAATTGCTGGTTACAGAACGTTTTCTTTTATGCAATATATTCGCAGCATGGCACCATACTGCCTGAAACATGGAATTAACTTGAATATTGCATCTGCATTTTTACCTTACAAATGAATTAACAGCTGTGCATTGCACAGCCACTCAGATGCATCAGCATATTTGGTACTGTATTGTACCTTATATATGGGTAGAGCTCTGCATATCCAAAGCTCATTTGCAGATATGTGCAGTCAGGTGGCGGATACGGATAAAATTTAGTCAGATTGCAGATTACAGATCGGATGCGGATGCAAGGGGCTGCAGATGCGGATGCGGACATTCGCTGATCCGGATCTACATTTTTGCAGAGGCGGCCCATAATCGTGTGCAACTGTAGAGTGTAGAGAGAATACATGAGCGATAGTATGAAGTGCATCGTTCAATGTTTTGGAGGGGGGTTCAAATCACTATTGGAAAAAGGTTCCAGTCGGGGAGAAAATTGCTCTTTACACCAAGAGACCAGATTTTCCCCAAAGTTTGTTTTAGAGTGTTCTATCTCGCCAAAAATAATGTCCCTAGCAAAAGCAAGAATGCAGGGGCATCCATCGTACTGGCAAAGCGTGTTCTTGTTTGGCAGGGAAAGAGCGGAAACATCCTTTAGGCAAAGAAAACCACTTACATGCCACAAGAAAGTAAAACCAGCCTCCTTCACCCCCCCCCCCCCCCCCCCCCCCTCCGATTTCATGATGTGAAGTGAATGTGCAGACTGAGGCTCAAATGTGGTTCCGAATTTCGTGGACGCAGTTCGGATGAGGATATAAAGTATGCGAATGGGGATCGGGTGTAGATATAACAGTATAAGAACATTGTGGATGTGGATACAAAGTCTGCCGATACAAAGTCTGCGGATGCAGATCGAATGCGGGTGATCAAACTGTTATCCACGCAGGGCTCTATACATAAGATTATATTCACAACCTTTTCTTCCACACTTTCGTCTTCGTTTTACCATACTTTAACTACACTGCCACAACAATGTGTGAAATAGTGTTGGTGGACTGTTAATACAGGAGCGAGCTGTTCTGAAGAGTCATATTTGCCCGAGAATAAGTTATACTGTTTATGAAAACAGCTTGGAATGACCCTAGCAAATGGCAAGGCACTGCTGAAGTTGTCAAACAGAAAGTCATTGTGCAAATGAGCTGGTGAAGGTTACACATAACACAGCCCCGAGACTGCAGGTATAGTATTTATTTTTCATTAGTCTACACATACCTAGATGGCGCCACTGCCCATCTCTGGGAGTGCCCCCCTGGTTCCAGGGTGTACACCCCTGGCCCCAGGGTGCAAGCCCTGGGGCCTTGGTCTTTTGAATTAACAATTCGGCTCCAACGTGTCCTTCTCAGCGTTGGCGCGCTTGATCCCACACCTTGCCTTTTTCAAATGCGAGCTCTTGGCTTCCAGTTATTTTCTGGGTTTTTCTTTTTAAATTACTACAGCAGGTAAGCAAAGGGTGACACATACATGAAGTTGTCACTAGTTTTATCAGGCTTCCAACAAACACCCAATAAAATTTTTTTACTGTAAAAAGCACTAAAATGTGGCACCAAGACTCTGTCCAACTAATTTTTGAGTCATGACCTAGTTGAGACCAAAACAAGAGGATTAGCACAGAGGAATGCAAAATCATCATAGACGTCACTAATCCCTTGAGATTGGAGGTGTAACTGGACCTTTATTTATTTATTTAGATACCCTCAAGGCCCTCTCGGGCTACACTCCCTACGACTAATACCTGACCAAGTTCCCTTACCAAGGTGTGTTTTTGGCATGTGTTTCTATGAATAAAGATGTGTCTGAGATTGTTTATTAGTTTTCAAACATCCAAAGATTTGCGTTGTCATCGTATGTGGCTAAGAAAAAACAAGAAAGGAGAGAACCTCGCGTGACTGGTAGCAGAACATGTTTTGGGCCTGTTTTTACAAAGAGTGTAGCCTATTCTCGAGTAAAGGCCTGTTCACAAATACAATGCAGTGCTAACTTAGTGTTATAGACACAGTGCTGACTCTGCGCTATATCAGCGCTGCACCAGCAATTGAGTGCGTGTGATCCGGCCTTCTCCTATTCGCACGCATAATGTAGTGCTAACAGTGCCGACACCAGCACTGCTTGCACACACAATGAAGCACTAATATAAGTGCCGACACCAGAGCTTCATAACTTCGAGCTATCCCTGCACTGCGTTGCATGTGTGAACTGGCCTTACAGGACTGCCCTGCAAGAATGAGAGGCAACCCAAGTTGCCGATGAAATCTTGACTGAGTTTTTCATGTAAACGTTCCATCATACGCCTTTATAAACGGACAACTTAAGCTTTACTGCAGTTATGCACACAGGGTCATTCTAGTTTTCGTGTGCAGGCACGGAAAACTGAAATAATCTTTTGTGCAGAATCATGACGAGACCCTGCTATGGTGATAGCACACATTTCAAATGGCTTTCTTGCTTCCTGGGTTGTGGGAGATCAAATTATTGTGACAAATTGCCTGGCAACCTACTGGAGAAGACCTTTGTTCGGTGGTTTCATGTTTTGTCTTCTTAGTGGGGAGGAGATCGAACAGTCACGCGTCGCAGCACGCTTCAGCTGTGGGGACAATCAACCGAATTTTCTTGTTTGGTTTTGATCAGCAATATCAAAGATGACGATTCGAAGGCTGCTCCTCGTGTGACCAAAGTGCTGGTAATAGCAAAGCGCTCGTGTCCATATTGTACATGATGAGGTTTAATTTCTTTGTTATACTGGGTTGGTAAACACCGGGCTGTGGGGACAGCAAGCTTGACAAAGCGCCCCCTATAGTTGTATCTCCTGTCCAATAGCTAGCAGAACCAGGGTTTGGAAAACTAATTTATAAAAAAAAGTATAGCAAATTTAGGCTATGTTCCCATCCTTTACCAATGATACAAACAAATATTAACAAATTTAAACACTGGTTTAGTCTCTTCTTAAAGGGACCTCAGAAATTCTCAGCAAGGATATTTTCATTCCCTTCTCTATTTGCACTTATCAATCGGAGAGGGGACAAAACAAAAAACGAAAGATGCTTACAATTTTATGTAATGCCAAATTAGAGTGCAGCTCTTGAAGAGGAGGAGGGGAGGGTCACAAGTGACGTGGCGGGGGGGCAATTTTTCCACTAAATTTAGGGGGAAAAGTTTTCCGCTAAATTTAGCGGCAAAAATTTCCCTGCTAAATTTAGCAGAAAAATTTACCGTCAAATTTAGAGGAAAAATTTTGCCCTCGTGACGTCATTATAGAAAACATCCAATAATGCAACTCGCGATTACGCCGACGGCAATGCCATTCAAGCCGGAAACGGGCTCCTAAGAGCTGCACTCTAAAAAATTTTTCCATTCAAAATTTGGTGGACATGCTGGGTAGAAAAGTTCTTAGATTTGACCTACTTCCCTATACACCTTTTTCGCTTAGCCTCGCACCCAGCTACGTTGTCCCCCTATCCGGCATGCGTTCCGAACAAAAAGCAAGAGATTACAACCCCGACCAAGTCAAAAAGTATAAAAGGGTCATAACAAGAATGACAGACGGTTGCAATTAAAATGTTAACACGTTCTACTGTCGAGGCGAGAAGAAAGTGATGTTTTCACGCATACCAAAAGTTCCAGAATTGAAGATGGCAGCGCTTACGCAGAAAAGGTGTACGCCTATTGAAGGAGAAAATCCTTCTTTCCCACTTTTCCAACTGAAGGTCGGACTTCAAGAAATACACAAAATGATGCCACGCGGATGACAGCCAAGGCAGTCGTATAAAGAGCAGTACTGAACGTCCTTTGCCAAACACGCTGACATGCGTTTTCCTGCCTGCCACCTTTCCTTCTTACTTTTCGTTCTACTTTTTCACCTCGACACAAATACCCCCTCCCCTGTGCATCTGCATGCAGCTGTCTAACGCTCTGTAGCAAAAACAGGGCTCGGAAATGGAGAATGTATTTGGAAAAACACGGGATTTCAAATGAGCGCTAAAGAAAGAAAGTGAAGACACTTTTGGGGGGAGGGGGGATTGATGAAATGAACACATCTCTGACACAACTTAGTGCTTGGGATTAGGCTAGTTGGTTTATCATTCCTTGCTAGTTCGTTTATCAAACTGCGCTGCTTGCACTGCTAAGTTTTTCACATTAAACAGCAATGGGACTGAGAAAGA